TATAATGAGCAGCAGTCTTTTCTTTATTGACTACAAAATTGCTCTGTTCAACTTCCTATAATTTACTAACAGTACATAAAGGAATCCCTTTAACCTCATAGCTTTTGTACAGTCTCGGAGAAACCATATAGCCTCATGGGGCATTAAATACTGACTGGAAGGAGGAATAGGAGGGAAAAAAATCTTTCTCTCTTTGCTTTTGAAAATCTCTCTTGGCCTCGTCTTGAACTGTAAGCATTCAAATAGCAAATGAAAATCTCTTTCAGAAAGAAATCCTACTGTCCAGACGTCTGTCAAAATGCGATGTGTTGTCTCAGATGCCTGTCATAATTCAGATTTTATTAAAAACAACTCCATAAAGCCCTCACCTCCATAAGTGTTTTGAGGAAAACCTTCCAAACATGCCCATTAAGACAACATAAATTGGAAGACATGAATTTACTTCCCAGTAGAATGAAGTCCATAGCATCTAAATTCAGTTTTTCCTGACCTGACAGTCCTGAAGACTGAATTCATTTTCTGTTCTACAAGTCTCCTTTTCCCAAAACACACAACTCCAAACAAAATAACAAAATTGTAGAAATACTTGTTGAATTGTTGTATGCAAAGCAAAGAAAATGGTTTTGAAAAATACATGAAGCCTAAAATTCCAGCAATGAATGAACTCCAGTGTGCTATTATATATATAATTTTGCAATTTGTGTCAAAGAGAAGCAAAAGAAATATCACTTCACAAGCTCAGCAGAGCTCACCATTGATTTCAGCTTCTTTCATTGACTAATGTGTCTGACTTAATCTGTATTCTTGTCTTACTCTGGTGTATTCCTATGCCAATGAAGCCATGATTTACAATTTCTACATCTCAGCTTGAGTTTGTGAGAAAAATAAGTACTAATTTTGGGCGGGGAAAAAAAAGGAATTATCATGACTGTGTTTCACAATAGTCACTTGTTTCCTAATTAAGGGATTCCCAATTAAATCTTTCTCCAAATAGTTTCTTTGCAATGTTTTCTTGCTTTGTTTCCTTTCTCGATTCATTGCTTTTCAAAGTTACCTCTTACACAGCATTTATTTTATGGTTACACAAATATATTTTTATTAAAAATTAATCTAAACTGAATATCCAGGGTCATTTGTTAACACAAAGAAGATTTGTGCATTAATGTTTAAATATGACTTCAGGGAGAAAGAAAGTAAAAATATTTGATTTAGGGACAAATTTTGCCAATATATTCAGATACATAAGTATAGCACCAGAAGTCACTGGAACTAGAAAAAAATTGGAAAGCAAAGGAAGGACACCAAAGGCTTTGCAGTGAAATATAACAAGTACAAATTTATATACTAAATAAAAATAGATTTATATACTAATATTTTATATGTATAGTATATATACTAATAAATTTATATACTAATAAAAATAATATGCTGGACATGGAAAGTTGTGGCAAATTTAATGAAAAATAAGATTTGCTAAAATAAAATAATAAATAATTTCTTGCTGATCTTACCAGAAAAGAAAAGTCAAACTTCAAAATGAAATAATTTTTCTACTTTACATCCCAAACTGCAATTTGTGGTTAAAATTTGTGGGAATCCTGCCAGCAAAGAGCTGCTCGCCTGCTATCACAGCATGGAGTCAGAGTCCTTCTGAACTGGAAAACATCGGCTGACTCAAGTCACATTTTTAATAATTGCTGATCTTTGCACAGGCATGATTTGTTTTTAAAAAAGTGATAAAAGGACATCCCTTAATTCAAACTTTTAACCTAATTGGTTAAACTCGAGCAAAATTTTTGTTAATTTTTATGAAGTAAAAGGCTTTTTTCAAAGGCTTCACTCAAATACATGCTTTTACTGGTGTATCAGAGGAACTTTCAAGCAAAGCACCTCACCTATCAGGATCAATATTCTTTGTAATGTTCCAGGAACACGTCTGAGAGCAGGGTGCACAGTGCCAGAAACACTGGCACTGCAGGCTTCTTCTCCAAAGTATCACCTAGTAAAGACACTGACGTGGTCAAAACTGCCGCGTGATCTTTCCAGCCTGCGTTATTTATTCTCCTTACCTATTCTGCTTGCAGCTTGTCTTACAAGTAAAGACCTTCGGTGTGTTACAAACCTGAAAAGCAGAAGTCAGGAGGATGTGCTGTCTCTGGAAACCCTGCAGTGGGGCTTCAAGTTGCCGTGGTATCAAGGAATCTCCAAGTGATCAGTTTTWACTTTAACTTACCCGGCTTGCGAATGATCCCGTTACAAGTTGAGCATATTGCTGCGTTCAGAGCACTTCCATGTGTGCTCTGCGAGAGCACGGTTGGCAGAAGACTGAAGTCAACAAATTCTGTGTGTCCTCGCTGAGCAGGCCAGGGAGAAGGATCCTACAGGGTACATAATGCCTCGTAACCCATTAGGATATATGAAGGGCTGTGTTTTTTGTCTTGATCTTGAGAGAGTTATATCTGTTTAGATGAGCTCATTTACTCTGTGTGTTTTCATCCTTATGTGTAAGAAATAGAGATAATGGGACATGTGACTCATGCTTTTGCTGTRGCTTTTAGCACAAAATATAAACAGCCAGATTTGGTGTATTGGGAATTGCATTCCGTGTTTAAATGATCTCCATTCTTGGTGTTGATGGTAGGAKGGACTGCCTTCAAACTACCAAGTCCATTTTCACTCCCTTTTTCTTTCATTCTCACCAAACAATTTAGACCTCAGGCTCTGAGTTCCAGCTCTTATTAGCAATAATTATGTTGTCCTGTTAAGGGGAGCTCAAGGACCCCACCAACTTTCCTGATCAACCATTCCCAGCATCTTGGCACACAGCCTGACTTGGTTCTGAGGTAAGAACAATAGCTTTCCAGGCAAGAGCAGTGGTGGCSTCTCTGAGCTGATACCTCTAAGAATGTTCTTGGCACTGACTTGGCTTGGGCCATCTGACTCCCAGTCTTTCTCAGTAATAGGAGCTCTCCCARCAACTCCGTATCTTCTTCCTTATCTCAGGCTCTTTGTATATCCCACCTTTCAGTGGCATGCAGAATATATCAGCACATCATTCTCTTGTGCAGATTTCATTGTATCTGTGATATAGTGGTTTCCTTAAGATGGTGGCTTTGCCACCTGTGGCACTTTGATCTTGAAGTAACTCTGTTCACATATTTTTTTCTGTTCTTTTTTTTTTTGGAAAAATAATTCCTTAACAGCATTGTATTATTGGAAGACACTGCAGTATGTGACTACATGCTCCTACGGAAAAGTTGATGCCTGTGGTATATGACCGAATGAACTTGATTTCTCTTTGTGCTTGAAGATGTTATTGGATACTTAGGTTGCTATTCCTTGAGCATAAGGGCCTGGAACTGGAGTATTCCCCATAAGCAAACTGTGACCATGGCTGTAACATCAAGCTACAATTTTGGTTCCACCAAAGTTGGTTTCTTGGCTAATTGATAATTTATGAGTCCTACCTTCTGTCTTCTCTGTTTCTTTGCCAATTGCTTTTGAGAGGTATTGGAAGTTATTTCTAAAGAATGCAGATATACAAATATACATATTTGGATTATAAGCAATTAGATACAGAATGGCATTGGAAATTGTACTTTTTTTTCTCATTTATTGTTTTCTTGAGTCAGAGGCCTTTTCCCTATAATTTTTTTTTGAAGATATTTCCATTGTGAAAAAAGGAGGACATTAGACTGTGCATATTTTTCATGGTAAATATGTTGTTGGAGTTTTGTGCAGAGTAGAAAGTGTGTGATCTGTTTTATAATCTAGGATAAGTTTGAACTTAAGTCGCTGGAGCTAATCAGTACCTGATCTGCTGTTTCATCTGGCTTATAAGTCTTCATTCATGGTATTCAATTCTTCCTTCCATTTCYTGTTTCTCCAACTTGCCTGACTTTTCCATAATATGACAAAAACGAGGAGGAGGATGCTAGAATACAGCCAATTATTTGTTGGAGAAAGGGATGAGATAGCCTTGATTATGACCTGATGTTTCTACAATGCATCCAGTGTTTATTTTTTTCCACCATTACTTGTTTTTGCACATGTGTTAGTAGGACTGGTCCTATTGGCCTTTCTTGATTTTTTTAAAATATTCAGCTTGTTAGTCACTACAAAGAATCATTATGACTTGCTTAAGCTAAAAGTAAAAGTTCAGTGCTCTCAATTGAAGGATATACAATATTATAATAAGTCATTAGTAGGACTAGTAGTATTCTTATGAGATACTCATCTAAATCTTTTCCCTCAAATTTTGACATTTCTGGAAAGACAGAAAAGCTACTGAGAAAGCTGGTTTTTTTTGCATATGTGTATTTTTTTTCCTGAATCTCCCATGAATATCAGATTTAAATTTTTTTAAATGTGTGGTGTTATAAATTAGAAGACTACAGGAATTAAGGAGTTTCTTAATTTTCTCAGTTTCCTTTTTTATTACTATATGCTAAGGTAGTCTCATGGTGAACATGGGAGGCTCCTCCGCATGCAAAAAACTCAAGAGGAGTGAGAAGAAAGAAAGTGGAATAACTCTTTTAAATGAGAAAAACTTAAATATTCAGAGACCCAAAACATTATTGGAGACAGATGTTTTAACCRATTTTCCTTTGCATCCATACAAAAATACATAGGATAGGCCTGTATCCACATCACTTTAATGCCTAGCTACCTCTCCCACAATATTCTTTTCAGCAAACACTATGTGAGACTTTTATGGAACATGAAAAACATTAATTTACGCTGTACATCTTCTTATCACCGACATAAAACAATGCATATACTCGATATGGCAAGGTCTGTAGCTTGGTTGTAAGGACTTACTATTTATGAAAAAATGCTGCTTAATATTGCATGTGATAATTGAATCTGCCCCCTAGTATCTTCAGGACTTAAATCATTGTAACCAATAAAAGCTGTCATYGTTTGGCCCATATTGTAATTTTTATGTTAAGTGCAATATTTATTCAAATGCTTTACCTTGCAATGTTTTGTTTTTTCAGGATGGGAAGAAGAAGTTTGACAAGGAGAGTGAGAAATATTATTCCATTCTAGAGAAGCACTTAAATTTATCAGCAAAGAAAAAAGAATCTCATTTGCAAGATGTAAGCACTTAACATACTGTTATTAAGCAATTTCAAGTTTGCATAGAGTTGGTGCTAACAAACTACTGCTCTTCAAGACATGCTGTATTTTACTTACATGAAATCATTTAGTTGTAGTTATTTCTTCTAGCCGCTAATGTTGTGAATATAAACTCTTGAGTGAGAATAATGCCGACCTAATAAGAATTAAGTATTTTAACAAGACTGTATTTAACATTCCTGACTTGCTCTGTATATTTTAAGTGGCAATTTGCCTTTTTTTTTTTTTTGGCTTGGGGGAAAATTGCAGTAAAAGTGGGTATTAATGACACTGACACTTCGATTTTGTTTGTTTTTTGCCAAAGTAGTTAAATACCCTTTTGAAAGGATTACTGTTGTCACAGTGGTTCTTAAATTTTAGGAATTATTTGGGCAGGTGAAGTTTTCACAAAAGATGTAGCCATCTCTCAGTCACAAATTACAGGATTTTTTTCATGTTTACCAATTATACTATCCTTATGTATAAATAAGCTTTAGAAATGTAACATTGGTAATAATGTTTATACTCCTAAATTGTCATAGCTCTCTATGTAATAAATGAGCTTTGATAAGACATCCATTATGTCCGARTGGTTAATTGTTCCACTCATATGCAAAATTTAATAAATAGAGTTTGAATTTTTCATACACACCCTCTGTACTTAAGAAGAAACAGTTCCATTAGAGGCTAAACAGCAGCCAAGACTTTTCATTCTTATCATCTTTTTTCGAAATGTGGCAAAGTAAACTTAAGTACTGATTTATTCTGGAATACAAATAAAATATTTTACTCTTGAGACAGGAGAATAACTGCAGTCTAAAAACAGCAACTGAAGTGAAATGTAACAACCGTGACTCTAATAAACTGTGGTAGAATAACAATAGATTTGGCTCAAGTATATAAACTAATGGAAAATCAGAGTAAATTTTTCCACTGTGTCCTTACATGACATCCCTGCATCAAAAAACTTGCTATTCAGGCTGAGTTCTCTGATTTTCTGGATGCTTCACTTATAAAATATATAGGCTATTCCATGTCATATCCATTCACCCATTTTTGCAAGATACAGCCTTGCAGCAACATACACCAACCTTAAGTGGGAAAACATGCAATAATAAATCAATACCAAAAATGTTTCCTGGAGAGACTTCTGGGCTGTGTCACCAATCCCTGGCCCCAACACCAAATAGTACCTGTGGACTCAAGTCCTCATTGCTTGGGACCAGCCCCACTTAAAGCGAATTTGTCCCAAGACTTAGTTGGGCCTGGGAGCAGCACAGGCGGCGGGGGTTAGTGCTCAGTTCAAGGGAAGGCTGGTCCTCTCCTCCAGCCCCACGTGCAGTGAGATGGTGCTTCTTCTGCGGATACCATTTTTTGGCTTCTACTGTCACACTGAAAAATACTTCTTTTTAAACCCACTATTTTATTTCCTGTTGTCTCACTACCTCGTTATGTTATGTGGGTTCATAATTTACTGTTGTGAGTAGCTCTCATACTGTCTTTTGAGGGCTGTTTTACATATTTTGGTTCGATGTGATTCAGAGTACCTTAATTTAGCAGCTACAATTTGACAGTCTAAACATATCATATGTAGGGTGGTTTACATRTGTTTATCTTATTGAAATATGTTGGATAGCATACAAGGATTCTGACAGTTCACATAGATTTATTCAACTTTTCTCCTTTAGCATCAGAAAGCTACATAGGATTGTCTTTTGACTGCCCATAGAAATTCACAAGGAAGCAGAAAATGGCCAGAATTAAGTGACATGAAAAAAATAATAAACTCATGATTCTACTTCTGTGAAATCTGATCCAAAGAACAGATTGTTTTGTCTTTACATTATATGTAAAGACAAAAATTTAATTCTGCAAGCTTACATGAAGATATGATACACATTTTAGCGATATCATAGCTCAACTGAAATACTGGTCATACAGATAGAGACTCAAAACCCTATCCATAAAATTTTAATTTTTTACATTCAGTTCAATGTCATATAAAAATATGCGAAAACCTCTTCAGCTTTTGAAGCATTAAAATCCTTTTCAGAGCAGTTCTTAAAGTTGGAATCCTCCATGTTCACACAAATTCAGCAGCTGTACAGAAGACGTGTTTTGGAAACTATGATTTAATCCCTGTACCCTGGTGGTTATTATGGTCTTAATTTAGGAACCCATCCATATTTGAGATGGGTACTTAGTTATCCTAAGTATCATTGCAATTACACTTTGCTTAAGTGCTGTTCAGAATAGAGATGAATTTAATTATGTATTTAAACACTTCCCTGAATCAAAGCCTGAAAGAGCTCTTTTCTAAAACCAAATAATACAGTTTATTTACAATTAAATGTGAGACCTGAGGTCTGTCTTAAGTGCTTAATGGCTTCACTTCTGGGAGGGAGCATTTGCTAGGTCACATCCCAAAATGGTAAGACTTGGTTTTGTGCATTCTTGAGGTAGTTTTTTTTTTGTGTGTGAAATAAGACTATTAACGCACAATATGAAGAGAAACAGCAGCTGGACATATTGTATGAAAGACAAATGGCAGGGGTAATTTTATGTTAAAACACTCCATTCTTGGAATTTTGAGTTTTTGATCTCTATTCCGTAATGTTAGTTTTTGAACCTGATTTGCTTTTTATAGGCATGGCAAGAAAATGATGCTGCTTCATTGGTAGTAGATAACTAGGGGTGAAGGTCAATACTGCTAAGAGTCTGTCTAGCCTAAATCATGATAGTAGCAGGTCCTTAACTGAAGAACTGTTAATTGTGTATGGTGCCATTGAAAGTAGGGCCCTATCTGAACGAATATGTTGCTTTTTTCATGCATATAATGTTAAAAGACCCTTTTATAATGGGTTTGTTTTAATGTCTAGGGAAGACAACATCTAGCTTCTCCATTTTTCTCACATTTGTTATTTATAATGTTAGAATTGAACTGCAGAATATACAAAAGTGCATGGCTGTATTTTAACTGGCCTAGGTCAAAAATAGCTGAATTGGCTTTTTCTCATACTGTCCAAACTTGATAATATTTCTTGTTGACCAAAGACTGACAAATTCAGCCCAAAAGAGCTTGAGAAAGTGATATGTTACTGTAAAGTGGATCTTCAAATGGAAACTGCATCCCTTCTTGAGTATTATGTACACACTATGCAGCCTCTTTCTTATGTCCCTTTCTCATGGGTTGCTTAAACTGAGGTTGAGTACCTATTATTCTTCCTCAGCTGATAGAATTAATTCTCAAGCTCTTCTGTCAGAAGTCTTTATTTTGGCACTGGGTCTTCATGGTGGATGGTAARTATTATTCAGACATTTCTGACAAATATTGCCTTGTATTTCTGGCATTTTGAAAATGTAAATATGAAAAATAACTGATTTATGAGGGTAAAGGCTTGAATATGTTTATATTCCCAGAAAATATGACTGATATTGTGAAGAAATAGGCTGCAAGATTTGTTAAARACACTGTATAAAAATAAAATAAAATCCTTGAGAAAGTATTTGAAGCTAAGAAATATATTTTTGGTGTATGTGGTACTCTAAAATTTCAATAGAAATATTAATCATTTTGTCGCTCCTTTAATCCTGTTCTCCTCTTCTCTCTCTTATTCTAAGGTTTCCATGTGCCTGGAACATGTTCTCCATGCCACATTTCTGTCCTTCCTTCTAGATGCTCTTAAAACTTTAATGTATTAAGTGCGAAATCAAAGAGGAAACCAAACAGGAGCAGGGAAGAAACATTGTGTTAAAGTGTGTATCAGCTTTAAACTTGCATTTAACTATTTTAAGTAGGTATCCTGATTTCCAGAAGAGCTCCATATAGCTTGTAGTAGTTTGTAAGTAGAGCTTATGGGAGATCTGTTTGGTAATGACAAAATCCCATGTTTAAGCAGTTGTGAAAGTAAAATAATGTCTATATTTTGTTTTGCTTTTTAGGCGGATACACAGATTGACAGAGAACATCAAAACTTTTATGAAGCATCATTAGAATATGTTTTTAAAATTCAAGAAGTACAGGAAAAAAAGAAATTTGAATTTGTTGAACCCGTAAGTTTCATATTTACTTTCTTTACCAGAGTTAGAGTGCCTATATTTAAAGTTGAAAGTTTATTTTAAAATTCCTCTTTTGCTGTCCTTTTAATTGTGAGTACAGCTTGTTTGTATATAGACAGACATTAAATCTTGGCTTGGGCATTTTACCTGTTTATTAAAGGTTTATATAAGAGTATCATATCTACTGTGAAGTTAAATGTTGAATGATTTGGTGTGTGCATAACATTTTAATCTGACTACATGCAATGTTGTGTCTGTGCAACAAATAATGTCTATTTCCTAATACTGTGGCTGCAATTTTGAGCCAGTTTTTGTATTCAAATATTCTGTGTATGTCGCATACCTGTCACTTGCATTTTTTTTCTTAATCATACATGGAAAGTGCAAAATCAGTTCTTCTGTAGATTAGATAAGTTCTTTTTTTATAGACCTTTTTCTATAGTTAACTGTGTAAGAAAAAGAGAACATATCCTGAGACAGGAAAAAGAGGAAGCTAAAGCTATGGTTATAAAGCTATAATGTCCCAAAGTCCATATTCAAGTCTGAGATTTGGCACCCAGACTGCATTTCTTTTTGCCTGCTATCTGCTGGAGCAGTCATGACCTGAGGCTGTGACAGTGTAGTGGACTAGTGTATCTCTGTGGCATATTAGCAGTGTTGATACTGTTTCTGCTGTTCAGGACTAGCTTGGCACTTGCCTTAGTTTAGTGAGTACCTGCAGCCTCTGACAGGGAACACGCAGTGTCAGCTGTCCCTTCCAGAGCATCACTTGTGGAGGGGGAACATGACAAGCACAATTTTCTTTCTCTCTCCGAGCCGTCTTCCAGCTTCGTTGTAGGTAACTGCAGCAGCATCCTTGTCTGTGAAACAGGTTGAATTACATCTCTAATGGCCAATATCACCAAAAAAGCTTCTCAGATGCCTTCTTTCCATGAGAGGAGAATATATGGTACAGTGAATGTTTGACATTGATGCAAACTAATGAACCTGGATTCAGCAGGCAGTACTTACAGAAATCCTATCTTTATGGCATACAGCTGCCAAATCTTAGAGACTAAAACTTTCCTTGGATTCCTAAATAAGAACATTTTTCTACCTGTCATAGATAAATCCAGGGTGTCTCTCTGTCTACTTCTGCAGAACTCTCACATCCTGGAAAAATCTAGCAATTTTGACCTAGCTCTGACCCTGCTATAGGGGGATTTCATGCTCCTTTAAAGTAATAGAAACTTGTTGTATCAAGGAGGCTTTTGTATGTCAGGAAGTACTATTTTACAGTTGCATATAGTTAAAATAGGGCATCTTTTTTTCCATGTGCTGGGCAAAAAATATATATATATACATATATAAAACTTGAAGATAATGAGCTTTATTCTTTTGACTAGGAGAACTGTACATAATGACAGTAGAGGGAAGATGAAAAACACTATTTGTCTCTTGTTTTTGAAGGGGGAGGGGAGCCAAGGTCAATGCCTTGATTAGCTTAGACAACATCCCATACAGCTGCCCCCAGGCTCCATGAGCCATTACAACAGCAGCTATGAATTATCAGGATGAAAGAGTTATTTATCAGTGCATCAGTACTGATGCAAAGCAGGCAGGGGAGGCTGTTGGTAAACTCARTGTGGTGGATCTGGGGTATGTTGTCACTGGTATTCACTGATTTAACACAACACGGCAAGTGACTGGTGTCACTGAGTAATCACTTGCCATGCTGTGCTAAATCAGTAGTCTCTGTAGTCCAGCAAGCTTCTTGTTGCACTTGATATTGCAGAGGAAGGTACAGGAAATACTATGGTGGGTAGTGAGAGCCCATTCAGGAGGTATCTTCCACCCCAGTTGTGCAGGTTAGCATCTAACATCAGTTGTAAAAACTTGGCACTTTCAAATTTTCTAAATTATTTCTTGTGTGTTGCATACAACATGTTGGAATTGAAACACGTAGGAAAAACACAGAGTTTAAAGTATGGTGAACAGATTATAACACATCAGCAATAACATGAAATGAAGAAACCGATCTGCAAAATAGACTTTCTAAAAATGCATAGTTTATGCAAGCAGTCTGTGAACTAGGAGCATGTGCTTCTAGATACAAATAGGTAAGGACAAGGACTAATCTTTTAAAATCAGGTGTCAAAAGAAGTGCCYTATTCATCATTTTCCTCCGTGTGCTCTACAGATGTTCAGATGCTAAAAATGTCTATTGGAGGTATTTTGTGTGAATATACATTCAACCTTTCCTCCTCAAGAGCTGTGCTAGTTGTGGACTTCCTAGTACTTAGACTTATGCCAGAGATTTTTCACCTCAGTGTCACATCTCTATATAATTTACAGTCTGATGGGTTAGTAACAGACTTATATATCATTAAACTCTTCTTCAAAGAGCAGCTCTGCTAGTGCAGTGGCGGAGGATGTCGTAGTGCCCATGTGGAAGAAGGAAAAGTTCACATCATGAGAGCAGACCTCARAGGGGAGATAACCCGCTGCAGTGCAGGCCCTTCCAAGCTCTTCAGTRTGTCTGTGCCAAAAGATATGGTGGCCTGGGACACAGTGGGTAAAACTGGAGTGGATGTTTTACACCCAGGGAAGCAGAAGCTGACAGAGTGGGGAATGTCCCTCATCTCCGAGGAAGAAATTTAGAGRGAGGAAATGCTGATGGCTCCTACCCTGGGCGGGGGATTCTGGTTGGCTGAGGAGACTTGTGCAGCTGGGCCTCCTTCCCTGGGTGTCTCTGCTGTGCCTCTTGCCTCAAGCAGCTGCTAACATATATTAAAATATGAGTATTTGGCAACTGCCTACTTGTGATTCTTCTAGATTTTGATATTTTTCAAAGAAAACAAAATATACTAAACCTTTTCCTTCAGGTTACAAGTTTGAACCTGCTCTCACGCACAACTTAATTTTACATTTTACCCTGCAGCAGGCTGAAAACAAAACAGTAAATGAAAATAATCTCTGCTCCTACTTGCACTAAGGACTCGGAAGACATAATCAAAACCAATGCAATTTTCAGAGAATGTACAGTTTTTAAGGGCAAAATGCAAACTCTTTCCTAGGGCTTTGTTTTGTCCCTCAGTAGTAGCAGGATTTCTATTGGGCCACAGGGATCAGGACCCAGAGCTCAGAAGCAGTAAATTATCTGCAGTGAGGGGAATGGTCCATCAACTGTCACAAAAGCCCAGAAGTGTTTATTTAAAGAAAAAAAATCTTGAGYGTAATTGCATGTAGTCCCACAAGACTTCACTTTTTCAACTAAAGAAACTGTGGATAATAAAACTCAAGCTCAATTTCCCGTTTCTTGGATTTCCTATGTTATTAGCCACATTCACTTTAATCTGATGGATAAGTACCTTCTGGTGCTATCTACTTGTAAATAAAATGAAACCAGGGAGACAGGGACTTYTGGCTGATGCACTGGAGGTTAAGGCCAGAGGTTAAATTCCTCCCCTATCCGAAACCTAAGTGGAGTCATCTTCCTGTGAGAATGAAATGACCAAGCAGTTCTTGAGGTCACAAGCTCTACATAAAAATAAATAAAGCCTCACAAAGGGGCTGGATTTGGTTTCAGGTCCTGTGCTGAAGCCCTGGCCGCTGTGGCAGCGAGCAGGGTTGTGCCACTGAGGTCAGACCTCGCTTTGCACCGGCCTGGCTGGTTTAGCTGTTCAGAAAGGGGTCACTACAGGGGGTGCGTTACACGTGGAAAAATTGATGTTTATCAACAAGTCAGGGATTATGTGTGATATTTGGTGATCCAAGTCATCTCTTCATGTGTGAAAAACACCTTGAAAACACATTTGGAAAGACTTTTTTATTTTTATTAAAAGAACAACTGGTTACTGTTACTTAAAATAAATCCCTTAAAATGATGATTCTAACTAGCAGCAGTGCTACTGGTAGCATCARCAACGTGTTGGCCACGCTGACAGTCCCCTGTAGTGTAGAAGGGCCTCGCTTGGAGGTGTCCGTGCACCACGATGGCAGTGCGGCCRCTGGTCCTTGAGGGAGCCGGGAGGGGGAAACCAGCACTGGCCTTTTGGATGCGGTGTGTTTGGCTCCCCTTGTCTCCCACCACAGGACTGTGTTCATAGGAGCAAGCAACACCCCCAGCATCAGTCTCTGCAGCAGAGAGCATCACTAACCTGGACTAGGCCTGGCATAAAAGCAGCACATTTTTGCTTTAATTCTTGTTTCCCTGCATGCTTAGAGGGGATTTGACCAATTTCAAGGCCAGACCTTCTGCAGTGCACAACAGCCAGAATACAGAGCAGCAGTTTAACTCAAATGCCTCCTGAATTTTGTTTTTTTGTTTTGTTGTTGTTATCGTTGTTGTGCTCTGTAATAGCTTCGGCTTTGCTGCCATCTAGTGCCCACGACTTTCCCCTCGATGTGTCTCAGTGTCCCACATACTCCATAAAAACCGTTTGCGTGACAGAAACTGCCTTTGATATTCGTGCTGAAGTTTTACCCAATTCTCAGGACATCCTTTAGAAACGATTTTTTAAGCAGATCTTTAAAAAACAGACATAGGCTGCCCTGCTGGCCCTTTCCCTGCTGTTCCTGTCGCTGCAGTTTCGGATGTGCTCCAACGGTTGCCTTCRACTGCTCACGTGGCTGTCGAGCTGCTTCTTCCACTGAAATACATGGGTTTAACACAGGCTAAAACAGGGAACTGCCTGCTTTGGGTGAAGGAAGGGGCTGGGGACCTGAGGCTGGACCTGAGGGTGCAGCTAGGCATGGGGGAACAGCATGGGCAGAGCTGCACAAGAGCCTGTGGTTTGTGCTTGCTACTTCATTCACAAGCCAAGTGGATAGAGGTTGTGGCAGGGGGTTGTTTTGTTTTGTTTTGTTTTAAAATGGTTAAAATTGCTCTGGAAAGGTCACAAACTCCTTATGTCTGCTAACATATTTGGAACCTTATACCATCAGTTGCCATATTTTGACCTACATCAGAACCACAGGCTACCTCCTGAGGCTGCCCTGTGTGACAGTTCGTGCGCCATCTGAGGAGGTTTTGATCACCTGGATTGTTTTCTTTGCTTTCCCATGGGATGCAGTTCATAAACGCAGACCTGTAGCCCAGGCCCCCTGAAAAGCCACGTGGTGGTTGGACTGCCTGGAGATCTCATCACCTTTGCCTGAGGCTGAATGCAATGCAAGCAGGAGCAGCTTTCACTTAGTAATGCAGGGGGAAAAAATGGCTTTCTGAGCCTGAGCTGCCCATGGAAGGGCTCCTGATACCAGAGGTGCTGGAGGGTCRTGTGAGACACGTAGCAGTAAAAGCTGCTTGCAGTAGTGGCAAGMTGGAGCGTAAGATCGCCTGTCCAAGGAGCTGCGACCTTTTCTTCTCGGCCTTTAAGAATGAAAGTTTGTGTACTGGAGTGTGTGAGGAACCTCTTGCAAGCCTTGGATTGATGGGGCTGTAAAACTCCACAAAGCTATTTTAGCCATTCCCTTGAAATTCATGTGTTCGTCTTGTTGTGAAGCAGAACAGTTTAGTGGGTTTTCTCCAGGAAGGTGTAAGTGCAGATTTAAAGAAAATATAAACAGGATGAAATCTATATCTTTAAAGTTGTTTCATTTCGAATAGTCTATGATATGGGTGGCACAAACAAAAGTGCATTAGATACGAATAATGGAATTTTTATTACCTCACTCTGAGCAGTCTTAAGTTTATTCAGTAGTTGATGGAGGGAGATAGATATTTCCATTGGATAATTCATCCCATCCTGAGAAAGAAGAGTAGGAAAGGAAAAGAAAATTATGTGCTCGAAAATTTGTTTTTCTGCTGAGTTAGGAGGCAGTAACAGCTAGTTACTCAGACCAGATGGATATAACATAGCAAGATAAATCACGCCTGGTTTTCTACTTTTATTATATGTTTCGGTGAATATAAATACACACACACACACGCGCGCACACACATATATATAGATATATATTTACTTGGCTGTATTAAAGCTAAATTATGGGAAACACTCCACAATAAAAATTCAGTGCTTGTTACTTCATACCATATGATAAAACTTACCACAATGTCTAGATAGACACTGCTTTATTTTTAACAGTTTAAATTAGACGGTCTTTTAAAACTAATAGGTGTTAGAAATATTTTGTTGCTGAAAACAAATTCAAAAACTAATTGTCCTAAGTTTTTCTTTCTAATATCTACCTGAATAAAAGAGTTATTCAGTCATTTAAGAACTATGTTTTCACTCTCAAAGGCAATATTCCATATTTCAAAATGTGTTTGTGTGTGTTTCATTGCAGTATTTAACTTAGGTGCACTTGTTAAAATCTGTAATGTTTATTTCATTTGCCTTTTCAGCTTTTGGCATTTCTTCAAGGATTATTTACGTTTTACCATGAAGGATATGAACTGGCTCAGGAGTTTGCACCATACAAGCAGCAGCTGCAGTTCAATTTACAGAATGTAAGTGATTTGTATTTATGCAGTTTTGTTTACTAATTTGATTTCAGGATATTAAAGCAAACCCATAGCATTATATTGGAACTGTAGATCCTGCAATGTTTCAGCAATCTGTAATGAAATTAATGTGCAAATAGGTACAAAATATTTTGGTAAGCATATTGTGATGAGTGAATAAAGAACCCCAGAAAGTCGATCTCTGCTTCAGTGCTGCTGGGCAAGACCAGGGCAAGTGGGCCAGCAGCCAGGTTTCCATTAAAAAGCACAATTGTCCAGATAGGTTTAAGCATGTAAGTTAAGTTGAGAGTGGAATCTGTTTTCTGGAATAAAGGAATGTCCCAGAAATGGTCCATCTGGTAAAGAATGATGCAGTTGGTTTCTTTAAAATTGCAGGTTGCCATGAACAACTTGTTCTGCTGTCCACTGGCTTCCTGATGGATATGAAGTATCTTTTGGAAGCCTCTCCTTGGTTGGATTTAGGCTGTCTGCATAAAGCCACTAGTTGGACTTTCTTCCATTGGAAACTACTCTAACAAGCATTAAGCTCCACTGGAAGAGAGTTTTTCCTGGATGTACAGAGAATAATCTCAATTGAATACATGGATTCTTTGCTGCATCTTGGTCTCAATTTGGGTCTAAAGGCCTTACAGGATGAGGTTGTGATCAAAATTCCATGGCTTTCAGAAAAAAATAAATAAAGCATTTAATCAATATATTTTTTACACCCATCATAATTGCTATATACAAATAATATTTCCCTGCTAGGAAATCAATAGAGAGAACTAATATTTTATTTTAAAGCTTTTATGGTGGAGTCAGATGTTACAATTCCGGGCACATGTAACCAACTATTTTTTGCTTTTAAGGAGAAAAGTAGAATTAAACATGTTAATATTGGGCCAACCTTATGCGTTTTTTTTMATTATTTTATTTTATTTTTGCCAAGTATCTTCAAAGTAAAGACCAGATTCAAAAAGAGTGATAGAAATATATCATTTTACTCAGGTTGTTGTATTTTTGGAATGGAAGTTTATGTTTTTCTTCAGAGCAGAAAAGATACACACCAAACAGGAACTGTTGTAGCTCCGCTAACRTTATTGAAGCAACAGCAGTATAGAACAGCCAGCATCAGCCTTTGTGGATCGTGCTGTGGACACTAAACTTAGGTGACATGCCCATGTCTCTGAGCACAAGAACACCTGGCTTTGTCCAGGGCAAGGGGAACTCATTATGGGCTGCTGGAAGATGTAAAGAAAAAAGTCTCCCTCAAGCATTTTGTTCTCAGTGGTGTGTGGTTGCTCAGGCTTGGAACAGTGGATAACAGAGCCCTATGTTCTTAGTAGTACTGCAGTCTTCCAGATTTTGTCATCTTTAGCCCTGTCCTTTAGCTATGTATCTGTCTGTTGTTCATACATGGGTATGGATCCCTTTTAAAATGCTGCCTGGGAAATAAGACTAAAGTTGCTCAGTGATTAGCCTTCTCCTCCTGAATCAAAATGCAAAGGTTTTTCTTTGTCCATTTTGCACATCAGTCACTTGTCCTCTCAAGTTATGTGGTTGCTAGATTTTCATTTTCTGTTGAGACTGTTTTAGATAAAAGCACAAGAGGTCAGTGTTGTTGCACAGCACAGGCTGTGCAAGGCTGAACAAATGTACTTCAGTTCAGGATTTAATTTAATGTGGCAATTTCTGATAAGAGYGTGATGGATAAGAGCAGAAACCCAAACTGGAAATGTAAGACAGGACACCTTTGAATACCTTTCTCTCTGCTTAATGATTAATTAAATAATGTTTGCCTTTTTAAGGTGAGCATTTGGCAGAGGAAGATTTAATGTATGTATGATTTAATATATGTGTGACTACTGTAGAGTTGTACTGTACTACTGTAGAGTCTAGCATATGTTGCAAAAGCTTTTCTAAGCACCTCTAGCAGCTTACATCTGCGCAGCTCTGCTCAGCCGGCAGGTGTATAAATAGTTGAGAGGTGAGTCCGTACTGTTGCTGTCTTATAAACATCTTGTGAAGATGCTAGTACATAGCTTCAAAAATGCAAAGACACAGAAAAAAGGGAAATTATTCACCAGCATGTAAACTCCTGAGAACATCTTTCTGGTTAGCTGGGCTTAAATTCTGCAGGGTAATTTTGCAAAAACATTACAAAAATTTTATTTTATTCTTTTACCTGTAGAAGCAAATGGTTCAATATCTGGGGTGCCAGTAGTGATTTATTAAACCTCTGATACTTCCAAYTAGTCCACCTGTGTTAGGTGTGTGGAAGTAAATCCTGACCCCCTGGATTCCAGAGACCAATGTGTGCTTAAATGCATACWGATACTCACAATCAGGAATTACTTAGCTCTGTGCCTAGTTGTTAGATGGGGCAAATGGACATTATGTGCATCATATTTATGGCAGACAAATCCTTTCCATGCATTTGGAACAATTCTGCCTTGTGTCACCCCAAATAATATATTTGCAGAGTCCTGTCAAAAAGTCTACATGGCAGTACCAGTACAAGCCTTCAGCTGCCGTGGTCTGGACCCTCACTTGAGGGTCTGGATGCAGTTTTCTGCAGACAGGTTCAATCTTACTGATCTGCAAGTGGARAGACCACAGCCATCTAGTCACTTTAGCCCAGCATTAAGCCAAATCACTTTGCACTGTGCAGAGTGGGGCTCATTACTTCAGGCTTGGGACTACACTGTCTGCAGCTTCTAGTTTAGACCTAGCTTCCGACTTGGTGTCCCAGATTGTATATATATAGAGAGAGAAGAAGACTTCAAAATACAGTGAAAACAACCTGAATGTAGGAAAKGGCATCCTTTCTCATGTTAGTGACCTGTGGAAAAAGAAATGCTACTGCTCTCAACAGTCATTTTCCTTGACTTGAATTCCTCTGTTGGTATGACTTCTAGAGCAATAAGGAGTGTGGGTTTGTTTCTCTTCATCCCCTTTTTATATCTATGGCAAATGTTACTGCTTGTCTGTATTTGATATAATCTTACTTCTTGGCATTATTGCTAATTTGTTTTTAATTTCATTGTTGGTTTAGTAATTGTGTGAAATATAAATATATATATATWTTTTTTAACTAGACCCGAAATAACTTTGAAAGCACTAGGCAGGAGGTGGAGAGACTCATGCAAAGAATGAAAGCAGCCARCCAGGATTACAGACCACCCAGCCAGTGGACGATGGAAGGCTACCTTTACGTGCAGGAAAAACGTGAGTAAAAAAATACACCTTTTAATTTAATTGGAAGGCACACCATGGATAAGAAACTGGATTAGTTAGCAGGGCTGCACAGCAGTTCTGAGACTGAATGTCACAGACTCTCCTATCATTGCTTTCCAGAAAGATTTAAAGGAAAAACAAGTTTTTGATTATTTTTGGTCTTGAAGCAGTCAGAGTAGGAAAGYCCAGATAAAACAGTGATAGAAATGCATGTGTACAGCTCCGCTCTTGCTCACTGTGCCTTGTTGGCAAGTATGTGCTACTGACCATCTCAGTGGCTGAGTGGCAGCAAACTCAGCTCAGTCAGCTTGCTCTGAGCTCTGGTGCTGCCCAACTCCTCATTGCAGAAGCTGCCAACTCCCAGCTCTCTGGTGGCTCTGTTGCTCAACCTKGAGGTCTCCTGAACTTTGTCTGCCTGAACAGGCTCCATGATTCATTAAACAGGAGCAACCTCCTTTTTAYGGCACTGATGCAGCAACCTAAAGAGCAAAGGAACATGTACATAATTGAGAACAAGGGGGAAAAAAATCTCAGAAGAAAAAGCATCTAGCTACAGTCTGCCACAGCTTCACAGGAGCTACAAATGTATACCTGATTGTTATTCACTTTGTAAGTAATGAGAATGAAGTGATATCCAAAAAGAATAAAGGAGTAACAGTAAAGTTGTTGTACTTGCCTGAGAATACTTGGAGAAGTTTAGCAGTAAATGTTACTGTGAAGGAAAACAGAACAAGGAAATGTGAGTAAAGTCAARTGAGAGAATACAGTCTATATGTGATCTGGTGTATCATTTGCTACAGTTTTACAATCTAAACACTAAAAAAACAAGCCAAACTAGTTGCATTAGGCAGGAGCATTGAAAATAGTTCAGAATGCGTATGATGAATCAGTCTGATACCAGAARAGAAGACAGCAATCATTGGAGAAAATGCATAGGTGCTTGTGAAAGTTTGATGTACATTCAAAAAAGACTAAATACTATTTTGTTTACATCTGTTTCTCAATATGAAAATAGGAGTTACTGCAATGTAAAATTCCAGTGTAAGACCTGGTGCCACTCAACCTCAGTTTTGAGGGCATCTCCTTCACTCTGTTACCCTCTTTGGATAATACCTGAAAAGACTGTATGGTGCTATAGATAATTATTTTTCTAGGTAGCATCCTGAAATTTAGTTTTATTTCATATGTGAGATAGAAAAAGAAAATCTCAGTGCTTATGATAGTTAACCTCAACACTTTTAGCCTCTGTAAGCAATGAAAGTTTTAAGAAGAGCTCCTATGTTTTAGYTGAATAATAATGTTAAAAGAAACCTGTGTATAAGTGGAAATTACACTGAGCCCTGTTAATGGGGGAGGGAGGAAAGGAGTGAAGCATTAGGCACATGCTGTGCTTCATTAAATAGTGAGAGGCCAACTTGACATCCTCTGACTCAAAAGAGTTTATTCATTAGTTTATTCTGGAGTAAGAATAACAGGGTCTGTAAGCTGTGTGTCGGAGGGAAGGCACCGGTTGTATTTCCTTGTCATACTGGTTTACTTTCCTACAATCATGATCCCATAGGCTACTGTCAAATTGTAGACAACTGGGTTAATATTTGCTGTTCTTAAGAATATAATAAATATKTTATATATTTAATACTGAGACATCGTAAATATGTTTGTGGGAGCTATGTCACTTGGCCTTAAGTTTCTTTTTATTCACATGGGTAGTAGTTATGAGTAAAAAACTGGTTAGAACTGTCTGGTTAGAAATTTTTAATGTTAGATGTGTAATATTTTGTGGAATCTTATCTTAAAAACAGGTGACTTTTAAAGTTGTCTAAAATTGTTTCAGGAGTGATGCCCCTTCTAATATATGCTGAAAGAGTTAAGGAGGAAAAAAAGTGCCTTACAGTTACCATAGATGCTGTTTTGTTAAACAGCAAAAAAATAGAATATAAAGAACAGAGCAGCTATCTTCCAAAAATGCATAAATAGTTGACATTGCCCAGACTGCATTCTATTACTTTCYTGTGAATTGCAGACAGTGCAAGCCCACCCTGTGAGCAGGCTTGTGATAGAGGTGAACACTTCCATGTTTGCATTTGTGGATTGCCAGACAGCTGGTTTACATGGTTGTTGCAGTCTTTAGTGCACCTTTGTGCAAGGCAGAAGCATTTTTGTGTCTGTAACAAATCTGCAGTGCTTGTTTTTAACACAGAATTATAGAATCCTTAAGGTTGGAAGGGACCTCTAGAGATCATCTAGTCAACTCCCCTGCGCAAGCATGGTCTCCTAGAGCATGTGGAACAGYGCTGCGTCTGAGGGGGTTTTGAAGAACTCCAGAGAAGGAGTTCCTGTGGAGCTTTTGGTGCTTCAATTTGTGGCCGTTTCTTCTAGACATGTTGCTGGCCACCACTGAAAAGAGSCCACCCCATCCTCCTCACTCCCTCCTTTGAGGTATTTATAGACACTGATCAGATCCCCCCTCAGCCTTCTGTTCTCCAAACTGAACAGGCCCAGCTCACTTAGCCTTTCCTCATACGAGAGATGCTCTGGTCCCTTAATCATCTTCATTGCTCTCTGCTGGACCCTCTCTAGAAGCTCCACAACCCCCTTGTACTGGGCAGCCCAGAACTGGATACAGTCTCCAGATGCAGTTTCACCCCTGTGTACAGGGGGACRATCCCCTCTCTTGACCTGCTGGAGACGCTCTTCTTAATGCACCTCAGGATCCCATTGGCCTTCTTGGCCACCAGGGCACACTGCTGCCTCATGGTCATCTTGTCATCCACCATGAGACCACCAGGTGTCATCTGGTCATCTACCAGATCCCTCTCTGCGGGGCTGCACTTCAGAAGGTCAGTCCCAAGCCTGCATTGGTGTCTAAGGTTATTCCTCCCCAAGTGCTGGACCCTGCACTTGCTCTGGTTGAACTTCATGAGATTTCTCACCACTGAGTCGTCCAGTCTGTCCAGGTCCCTCTGGATGGCAGCACAGCCCTCAGGGCTGTCAGCTTTTCCTCCCAGTTTGGTATCCTCAGCAAACTTGCTRAGGGAGCACTCCATCCCTTCATCCAGGTCATTAATGAATAAGTTGAATAGGACAGGACCGAGGTCTGACCCCTGGGGCCATCGCTAACTACCGGCCTCCAGCTGGATTCAGCACCACTGATCACCACCCTCTGGGCTCTGCCATCRAACCAGTCCACCTCGCCATCCACTCAATCCACCTCACTCAATCCACCTCACTGTCCACTCATCTATCCCACACTTTCATTAAAAGTTTAACTTTTAACTACTTTAAAAAGAATTAACATGCCCAGAAAAATCAATGTCATTTCYTTTTCACAGTGAAAAGCTATTTCCTATTCTGAATTTGTATGGTAGTTAAAATACTCCATTGTTTGTTTTTGTAGATAGAGAACATGTTCTAATTCCAGTCTCTGAAGTATGGCCTGGTCCAAGGGGAAATAGCACTTTTCCTTCTTGGATTCCTCTTCACACACAGTCATTTTCTTTGGTCTTTGAGRCTGAGTACCCAGAAGCTATGCGTATGCTTGTAAAATAAGTGGGACTGTGCTCTGGCACAGTAGTCAACTTGTACATAATATCCCACCCGCTATGCTAAATTTCCTGTCCTCCAAATTTGAGAAGTCGTGTCCAAGTTACATATTGAAAATGGCATCTGGCCAGAGCTACCCTAAGACGTTTTTCTGGAAGGGTAATAATTGGCCTGTGCCAAAACTGAGCCGAGGATCATTCCCCTAATGTCAGCTCCCAATGTCTACAGATACTCCCAATCTTAGTTAATTTAGCAGTACTGAAATGGCCACGATGTTCTGGTCCACTCACATTGCAAAAACCTACCTGATTCATCCCGTCCTCTGCAGTACAACACCACTTCAGATGTCTTCCTAAGAGTTCATCAAGTTCTGGGTGCTACAAGCAAGCAGCTTTTCCRGAAAACTATGGGAGATTTTGGCTATACTTCTAGGATAGGTGAAGAGTTACGGAGATTCTAAGACGATTTAGAACTTTCTCCCTCCTCTCTAAACTCTCCGTCACTCGCCATCGCTTAACTTCACTTTGCCTTTTTGCTTCCTTTCCCTCCTCTCTTGATGGAATAATCCTGTCCTCCTATATCTTCTCTCCACTTGAATGCTGTTGTCCATYCTGTTGATAAAGAGAGCCAAACTGATGGAACTTGGAGCAGTATCGAACAGATATTTGAAAGTTACACCTAAATGTCAAAATAAGGTTTGTTTTCATTTTCTATGCTGTATGTGGACATTTTGTGTTTCATCTCTTTCTTGTATATAGCTCCAGCTAAAGTAGTGATAAAAATTTCAAAGAAAAAATATTTCTAATGCTGTTTTTCTTTAATCTAGGACCACTTGGATTTACATGGGTAAAACATTACTGCACTTATGAAAAAGGAACAAAAACATTTACAATGTGTATAACTGAAACAAAATCAGGTGGAAAAGTGGTGAGTATTACACAACCTCTAAAACGTGCTTGTAGCTTCAATTTTTTATATTAACCATTTAGGAAGTATTAAAGAAGTATTTGATGAGAAAAGTTTAGGACTTTTTTCTTTCGTGTATGAGCAGTGTATGTTATATGTAGCATATATAAATAAATATCCATTATTAAAATAAAATATTTCTTATGTAACCTGTATAAACCGAGTATATTCAGTTTCATCTGAAAAGTTGCTCTCAGCACATTCTGTCTCATCATCCCGTTCATTAGGGAAGACCTTAAACAGCACTGTCACAATATTTACCCCGAAGGACTCCACTGGCTTCCAGCTGGGATTTGTGTTGCAAACTACAACCCTTTGAGCTCGGCAGTTCAGCCAATTTTCAGTCCACTTCATCAATCTGTCTGTAGGGTTGTTACAGGAGACAGTGTTGAAAAGGTTCCCGAAATTAAGATATTTAACATCCACTGCCCTCCTTTCATGTATCTAGCCAGTCGTCTCATCAGAGCAGACTATCAGACTGCTCAGGCAGGATTTCCACTTTCTTGTCCTGTATTTTTTTGGAAATGGCTTTCAGGAGGATTTGCTGCATTAGTAACACAGGAATCAAGGTGAGGCTGACCAGCCTGGTGGTCCTCCTTGCCCTTGTAAAAGAAAGGGGTGACATGTGTTTTTTTCCCAGTCTTCAGAAGCCCTCCCATCCCCACAACTTTCAAATAYTCCTGATAGTGGCCTTGCAATGGCATCAGGCAGAACTAGGAGACATCAGAGGTAGACAACCTTATCAAAATCTATTATGTACATGTGAAAGCTSATACCAGTATACAATGGTATTTCTAACATATCCCAGCAATCTTATTTTATATGCAAATATTTGTATACTTTTTTTTTAGGAATTTAAATAAAGTGTTCGGTTTGAATAAAATTAGATGAGATCTCTAACAAAAACTATTCAATACATTCCTACTTTATATATAGAAGTTACTGTGAATGTAATTTCTAAATTATTTGTATCTACTGTCTTAATACATGTACCCTGGGACTGTTTGTGTAGTTAAATTCAAGGTGTGAAGTCTGGCTGTATCAACATGCTGTGCTAATTTTGTATTTTGTGTTTGTTTGTGTTTTGRATTACAGAATGGCCTTGTCACCAGCCCACCAGAAATATTCAAACTGAAATCTTGCATCAGGAGAAAGACAGATTCAATTGACAAACGTTTTTGTTTTGATATTGAAGTGTTTGAGAGGTCTGTATTTTTTTCATTGTGTTACCAAAATGCATATAATGAAAAACAGAAGCATTTGTAAGCCGTGTGCAGTAATTACTATTGTAATAAATGTACATATTTCTCAGTAGGCTTGCATCCAGATAAATCAGGCTTTCAAGACTTGATGTTAGCTGCTTAAATCTATTATTCCAACAGAAAATTACGTCAGTGTTGTCTTAAATACATTTTGGTTGCATGGATGCAAGAGTATGGATTCCTACAAAACCTATACTGCAACTCACAACCCCCTTTTAGAAGAAGATCATAAATATTTCTTGAAATATTTATTATTTGCACATCCAATCCCTCTCTTTCCAAAAGGAAAGATGGCATGTTGTTTTTCAGTTTTTTAAACTACCTTCACGATTTTTTTTTGTCACATATTACTGGACATTATAATTGAATAAAATTGATGGAAAAATCTTTTCCATATTTGAAATATATGTGCACAGTGCTTCCTAAAAGTGTTTTTCTTTTTGAAGTCTGAGTAGAAAGTGAGAAATATTGACTGAACTTACCCCTTAAAATATGATGAATCTGATTGACTTTTTTGTCTACAAAATACTTCGTGACTGTTGCTTTCTTTTTAAATTCTATTCAGAAGTACCTGCTGGTTTACATAATTTTGAGGTTACTTTGGTACTTGTAAATATAAAAGATTACTCATATTAGACTTTTGAATCAATTCTGGCTTAAGAAATAGACATTTGATGTGAACAAATCTTGAGAAAATTTGGTCTCTTGAAAACTGCTTTCAAGCCTCAGTTAATAGCTTGAGTTTGAAATTGGTAGCTTTTCTTTTAAGTAKAACAGCTTTTATTAGACAAATCTGTAGTACCACTGATGGTTTCAAAAGTGACTATTGTCCTTTATCTATGGAAGTTTTTGAAATTACTCAAGTTCTCTTGAATAGTTCTGGGTACTTAATTATTTTATTCCTTCTGTTCATTTTGATTGATTTTAGATGTGCACTGCCTGTAAGTTAAAGGCCTTCTGAAAACATTCCCAAAAGGCTGAAAGAAATATAGAGTACAAAGTTACTTAATCTCCATCATAAGGAGATTTCTTTCAGAGGCTGATGGAAAGTTGACACTGGTAACTGATAGGAGATTCAACAGGGAAGTAGTAAATTCTTGTGTGTGTCAGCAGAGGAGATAAAGGTTAGCTAGCCAACAGAATACTGAGAAATATTACCTGGAAATTCAAAACCAAGGGCAAAATCATTTCTCTTGAATGTCATATTCCTGAAACGTGGGTCTCTCCTAAGAAAGAGAAGATGTGATGGCCGTTATGTCGGTAATTAGCTGATATTTTCTGACTTTGGAGACTAAAATATCTGTATGTGTCCGCAAAACTTTACAAATGCAAGATTGAAATACTCAAGATTTAAAAAGTAATGATTACATTTAAGTAATTATTAGCTGATTTTACATTCAGGCCTGCAGATTTCCTTGTTTGCGTGGAGTTTAAAGATATGTTAGGCATCATGCAAAATACAGAGAACCTTTAAAAGTCATTGACATGGGAGAAAGAGATGTTTACTTAGTAACGTAAGGCTAGTACTTTTCGTCATGGAAGAGCTCTTTTTACATATGTGCAGCCGCAGCAGTGTCTTTAAATTCTATTATGGCGTTTTATGGGGAACTCCTRTCTCCAGACACAGTATCCCACAGAGCTAATTCTCTCCTGGTATTAGTCTCCTGGTATTAGTTTATACAACAGCATTGGAAAGCCCATGCGTGCTCGTGGACACTGCTCATTTCATGAGACCCATATTAGCTGAAAGATACCCTTTCAGCTGTTAACAGGGACCACACATCATACACACTTCTAATTGCCACTGCTCATTTAGAATTTACTGAGATGGTTTTCACACCTGCATTCAGCTCAGACTTCTTACGAAAACTACTCTAGCAGTTAGTCACCATCTTACTTGTGTGGAGTTAGATAAGACGTTAGCATCATAAAATGTGTTTCACCTTGAGTGTTACTCTATTTTCTGATGTCGCCATTTTTTTCAGCAGCCAAAGCTAGTTCAAAAGTATTGGAGTACTTCTTATTTTGTAGGGCCCTAGYAGTTGGGCATTATGTATTTAGGAACTATGTTGAAGTAGCCTATGCAATCTTGGCCAACAGAGTAAATGAGGAATGCCGAACTGGAGGCAGGAGATTCCTTAGGCATTAAAATGACAAGCTCATACACGTTTCTGTTCTTTCTGTACATACTAATCAAGTGATTACAAGCCTTAATGCAATTTTCTACCTGAAAAATTTAGCATTAATCACACTAGAAAGAAGAAAAAAAATATTTCTGAAAAATTCTGAGAGGAAGCTTCCTTGATAAGAATCTGTGGGTAGGTAGCCAAGTGAAATATTTTAATAACTCTAACCTTAGCCTTTAATAAAATAGGAAAAAAATGTTTGTGTTAATTTGGATCAACCTTATCTTTTTATGCTTATCATAGTAGGTATAAAACAGTGCTCAGACTGGCATTTTTACACAAAATAGAGAATTTAATTACTGCCCAGAGAGACCTAATTACTACTTTCAGCTTCTGAAAGTCATCAGAGGTGAATATGTGAAACAGGTTACTCATTCTAATTATTAACATACACAAGCACACCTGCTGTCACAGTAGAGAAGAATTACTATCTTGCTTTCAAGCTTTTCTGTGAAATCAAGTCCTGAAATGCCTAGCTGATGGAGTAGTCTCTTGAGATCAGATTTAAGCACCAAGAAATTAATAAATATGCTCTTGTGCCAGTGCAGAATATCTAGCTATAACCCTAGCTCCTTTCAAGTAAATGACTGTTTTGCTGTTGCAGATAGCAAGTGGATAGATAGAAATTGACAGTGTAATCTTGCATTTTGCAAACAGTTACGCATAGAGGAGTGACTGTGTTTTTTGTCACGGATTTTGACATCTTATATGGATTTGTTTTGGGCTGATCTGTATGTCAAATTATATATGTGTTTTTCTATTATCAGTAAATGCTATATGAAGGCTACTGGATTTTGAGTCTGTAAAGAGCTACCATGGTACCATTGTGATAGGGTAATAGTAGAATCGTAACGATTACTAAATTGCTACTAAAGATTTTTCCACTCTTGTATTTAAATATGACTATTCATAAATAATTTTAGGGAAAAAGATTGGAACAGACTCCAAGATATCCTCATTGGTTCCCTTCAGTTTTTTTTTCCTATGCACTTGGCACACTTTTATCAGCAGAGAGAAAATATGCTACCTTTTCAATTTTGATCATAGTAGAGTACAAACCTGAGGAATGAGGAGGCTTGATGAATCTTCTTAACTTAGCAAGGTCATTAGCTGTGTTTTTGGCTGTATCCATAATGCTTTAATCATAAACATATTGTAGAATATGCATGCTGCAGCTCCTGCTTCCTGAAGCATCAACTGCCCACAGTTGAGTGCTGTAGGATGTGGGTGTGTAATTCCTGCACCCCAACACTGCTCAACTCGTTTGACTTTAAAGTTCCACGACCAAGACACTTTCTCACAGCTCTCCTTTCAGTCAGTCACTACTTTAGTCACTAGTTTTTAAAATAAATAAATAAACAAATTTGGGTGTCTTAGATGTCTATTTTAGGATGTGTTGACTTTTAGTTTAAAAATACTTGTCTTCCTTTACTACCGGAAGCACATGGATAACCAACTTGGGCAAAGACTTACTTGGTCAGATTGTCCTTATATTTTCCACCCTAGGCATCTCCTCACTGAAAAACTAGTTGCATTGGATCCTGTTTGCAGGCATGTAACTCATCATGCAGTATGGAAATGCCTAATACACTGCAGAACGTTCTAGTATTAGGACTAGGTACATAAAATTTAAGATTGCATTACCAAACTCTCTACAAACATGAAGTCTTTTCTAAATTTATCTCAGAGCTAGTGTGATGTATCAGCTGCCAGCAATTAACTTTAACTTCTTTGTTGTTATTGTATTCACTTCCTGTCAATACACTTTTTGGATTTTGACTTTGGATACTGTTTGAGAAAAATAAATTACTAATTTTAGTTTATGTCTATATTTTTGATAGACCTGGAATCATCACACTGCAAGCTTTTTCAGAATCCAACCGGAAACTTTGGCTTGAAGCTATGGACGGAAAGGAACCAGTAAGATTTTATATTTGCTTATATTGTACTAAATTGTAAAAGATTTTCTATCTGAAATGTCTGTCAGCTTCTTGCTTTAAAAACTTKTGCTTTTTCTTGCTATATATGTCATAAAACTGAAAAAAATAGAATAAATAATTCTTCTATTGTTCATAAGAAGCAATGACAAATATACAGTGTAGATCAGTACAAAATAGTGAAGCAGAGCTAAAATATTAGTTTATTTTAACCTGTGTTAACATTGTTTTATTTAAGATATTTAAGATTTACCAAATCTAAAAACATACYGTCTTACCGGATACATAATCAAGATAAAATTTATAAAATGTATGTATCATTTATATACTGCTAAAAACAATCTTTTATGCAATGCCACATCGTCGTAATAACCACCATCTTGAAAGGCAGAGAGCATAAAAATGTGTTGAAAGCTGCTAAGAAACAGGCTTAGCTGAGATTTCTTCCCACCATTAACCCTCAATTGAAATAGTCACTGAATGTGGTGATGCCAGACACGTATCCAAAGGAAACAAAACAGTTGATTGATTTTAAGAGATAAGTATTTTTGCATGCTTCCTACTTGACTGAAACAATGCAGAAATTGAGTCAGTATTTGAATAGGCATTTAACCCATTTGGAGTCTGCAGATCTGACTTCATGTGCCTATGAATTTCATGCTATTAAATCCCTCATAAAACTAGAACTTCAAGGTCTGATTGGACTTTTGGGACACAATCTGGCCGTTGCCTTTGCTCCAGAGGATCATTTTATTCAAACTGCAAATACCAGCAGAACTGTAGACTTTTGCCTCCTCTGCCTGCTCAGAGTTTAACCCAGGGATGTCAACTTGATCAGCTCCACTGGGGAAAGCTCAAGAGAARTGGAAGGCGAGAACAGTGCTACCAGGAGCTCTGTGCTCATGGGGCTAGAGAGGGGTCACATGCAGCTGCATTCTTAGTATGTTAGATGGCTGTTGCTGAGAGGAGAGGATCGGTGAGAGGCAGCTCCAAGAAAGCTGCTGTCACCAGCAGAGTGSAGCTGGGGGAATGGTGGTCCAAGGGAGGTCACAAAACCCAGAAGAGGTTCTTGAGCTGTCAGGTTTGGACTACCTGGAAAAAGTTGCAAGGAAGCCTCCTGCCAGAGGTGTGATTTCAATTTTAATAATCTATTAAGCTTATTAACCATGACCTAGCAAAAAAATGTGAGGATCAAGGCTTTCTGAAAGTGTCGAACTTAAACTACGTTGGAACTTGTTTAAGAACTATGAACAAATGTGATGATAAAGAACGTAAAACACAAGCAGTGACCCATTTTTTTCCTTCTCCCTCCAGATTTACACGCTGCCAGCCATCATTAGCAAGAAGGAAGAAAGTAAGCACTTCATTATGTTGAGATATGACATATTCCTAGATTTCTGTAACGTCCTAGTCTCCAGGATGTAGATGTGTGTGTGAGAGAGAGAGGGAGGAAGGGTGAGCACATGTGCAGAATTAATTTGTTTGTGTTTTCCTTCTATTGCTGTGAAATACTGTTTGCTGGATAATATGAAAGTTCACCCTAAGATTCAGCTCTGTGAGAATTGTGAGAAAGCATTCAATTTTTGGATTACTATCAGACATAAATTTGAAGAAAATGCATTTGGCTCCAAAACAACAGTATCATTMGCAAATCTCTATGAAGATTTTATCTATAGTCTGTATATCTAAATGTGAAGATATAACTGTGTATTGAAATAAAATCCCTATAGGGATCATGGCTTTTGTTTGTAAGTGCATATGCATCTATTATTCATGTACTGACTAATAAAATGAGTATATTTGAGGATATGGGTCTTCATGGGATAAAAATGAACTATTCTTTTCTTCTTTTTACAGTGTTCTTAAATGAAGCAGGTTTTAACTTTGTGAGGAAATGTATTCATGCTGTAGAAACAAGAGGTATGTATTAAATTGCAAATTCATTATTATATTATTATGAGCACTTTTCTTAAATATTACTTTGATAAAGTCCACTTACTTTACAACTGTGTTTTGGAAGGTGTCCATCACTCTAATTGTATTTTCATCCTGAAAACTGTTACAGGTTTTTACAATGCTTAACCTATTATTTAACTTATTTTTAGAACTTTAATTGTAACGTCATGCTGTTTAGACAGCTTAATACACAGTTGCACACATCTTTACATTTTTAAATTGCATGCACTGAATTATACTTTCTGGTGAAATTATAGGGTTTGGAAGTTCCTAACTTGGTTTTCTAGCATCACATCTGGAGACCAAGAAATCAAAGGCATGAGCACTGCTGAAGTATTTGTGGCAGAGCATAACTCCCCTCATTTTATTCACTCATTTTGTACATCATTCAACAATTTTTTAATATTTAGTGATTAACACGGTGAATTATGTAGTGAATATATATAATTATATATTAACAAATAGTACTCATCTATTGATGACTCACAACAAGCTTGGATTATCCCCTTTGAAAGAAAGAGGTTCAGGCTCTGTGGTCTTCCCTGCTCAAAGGTGCTCTGTGAGTATCAGTACACTGAGCGGACAGGATGCAAGTCCCTCCTAATGCAAAAGGGTCAGATGGCACCATGCAGCCAGTACAGTACCCAAGAGGAATTCAGTGGCTCAGGTGACACTCTTGGGGAGCTTGCTCGACCTTACATTCTTCTGCAGAAGGTGGTAAAGACACCCTCAGGTTATTTAATGGAGGGCAGACTTTGGAAAATTGTTTTCAAATGAAAAGTGAGCAATTTTGAAATAGCAAGACCTGAAGTGGAGATACAAAAGGAGAATAAAATAATAACCAATCAGAATTTGCTTTCTTCTTCGCAGTTTTAGAAACTGTAACACTGTTTCTAACATGCTCCTACAGATGATAAAATCATCATCTTTGGAATCCTGAAATACTGTGTGTTGAATGTCACACTTYAAACTTGATCTGTTAGTTGTGTCTGTGATATTAAAGAAAAAGGAGAAAAACGAAAGAAACTTATGGGCAAATTTGGACTGGCTTTATTTTCCTTAAGATCCAAGTATGAAATTATATGCCAAGCTACAGTGTTAACAACTGTGAACCTTATTTTGCACCATTGCTTAGGTACAGTTATTTTTTCTCCAAGAAATAACAACCAGATCTGAATGGGAAGGACAATGACCTAATGAGCTGTAGATGCATACTAATTCCACTGAAGTTTAGCAAGGATAAACTTGTGAACGTGCAACTTGTTTCAGAACTGTTTTGGGACCTTTCACTATTTTCAGCCATCTTCTTATGTTTGCTAATGTGTCTCATTTCTATGCAAAAGGATTCTGTTAATTTAAAATTTTGACTTGGGTGTTGTATAGTGTTTTGTGACATGGGTTCAGCGGAACACATTGGTGTTGCTGCCAGCAGCGAACTCAGTGGGCTAAAGTAGCGCTCAAGAATGTAAATGAATAATTTTCCATAAATTAATTTAGAAGTCATGGGTTGGTCTTCAAGCTCGTTTTGGGAGCATACACCAAGGATGCATCAAAGCATAATAAAATAACTTTTTTAAATTATGATTTTATTTTCATTATATTTATGTTCCCATATAGGTATTACAATCCTGGGGCTGTACAGAATAGGTGGTGTAAACTCCAAAGTGCAGAAGCTGATGAATACTATATTTTGTAAGTATATGTAGTGACCCTTTGTCAGTAGTGTGCTGCTAGTATRTTATAGTTAGCTTTGCTTTAACTGCTGTGCTCAGAGTGTGTATCGTAATATTTACATTTTCATATGTCCATTTACTGACAGTAAGCTGACRGTAAGTCAATAAAATTTTTCAGTCTTCTGGAAAGAGTTACATCTACCTTGTTTCTTGTATGCATTATCACTTAATTTCAGCGTGCAGTCATCAGTATATGTGAGCAAATTAGTGATAAAATATATTCATTCTTTTAGTTTAAAATTCTTTTTCTTGGCATCTATTTGGCATTTTCCAAAAGTCTTTCAGAGCTTCATTCTGTAATACAGCTGTCTGTCTTGAAGTCATAACTCAGTTTAAGCAGATCATGTAGTTTTAGTATTTAGCTTTTCACGCTAATTCAAATCTATGATAGAGATGTTAATTATCCAGAACATTTTCAACTGTCATGGGTTTAGCTCACACTTTGATTATGGTTCATATAATTGAAGTTTATAGGTACTAAATATAGCTAATTTTACTAATGCTTTAACAGATTAAAATACTTAAAATTGATCATATTGGCAGTTGATCTGGCCAGTGAAGTAATCTCATGAATTAAATGTCTAGTCTGTTAGCATTTATTGTGCTTCTTTTCTAATTACTGTGTTAGTCAAACTGTAACACAATCATAATTTAAATTTCTCTCAGCTCCTAAATCTCCTCCTGATATGGATATTGATATGGAGCTTTGGGACAATAAAACAATAACAAGTGGACTAAAAAACTACCTCAGGTAAGTATGGTGCTACACAAAGCTCAGTATTCCTTTTATTGGCCCATTCCTTTTATTGGCCCATACCTTATTGGTTTTTTTTAATCCATTGGCATGATGGTAATTGAGTGTACTWCAAACTTGCACTGTCATTATTTCTAATAATAAATATAATGTTTGTCACACTCTTTCTGGCTTACTAAAATATCCATACACTATATAGATCTACAATTGGCAAGCATTWTAGGCCAAATATTTTTTTTTTTAATTACTTAAACTGTGTAGTTTGCGGTTTAATGACATTATTATTGGAGTAAAAATACCTACAAAAATGTTAATATTTGTTGTCCTATGATATTAATATCTTTAGATACAAGAGAAAAGCAGATCTCCCATGTAAAACTGTCAGTTCCTTTTAAAATACTTGGTAATAAGAGTCAAAATTTGCAAGCATGATGGTACTTCTGAAATGCTTCTTGCTTCTCAATTTTTAAGGATTAAAAGAAACAAAAATCCAGAGTGTGAGTATTCACACAAATCCAGTTTTTAGTCTGGAAAATAATACTAGCATTTATAGTGGAAATGTTCATATAAACTTAATTGARAACATTGGCTTTAGTGGAAGAAATTTGTAATTGGTAGAATGTCTTCAGGAGCATGTAGCATTGTTGATATTATAYTTGTGAACTAAAGAAAAGAATTATTAGTATGTGTGTTTTTGACTAAAAGACAGGCTTCATTTCAGAGGAGGATTCTACCAGAATCACTCAGATTAGAATTTCAGTAGCAGGTTTTATAATGCATTTTATAATGCATTATTTTAATGCATACTTTCTCAGAGCTTTAAAGATTATTTCTGCAGCCCGCTTTGCCATATTCTACAGCAAAATTAGAATATCTCTGTTCTGTACTATAGAAGGAAGAAGGTAGTGAGTATATATTCTGAATTGTATACTGGTTGTAATCAGTACGTAGTGAATTGGATTTACTAGGACATAACAATATATGGCATGCAGATATTGAAGGCTATCAGAATATAGTAGTGCAGTAATGCATTTTTCAAAATTTCCATTTTTTACCACCAGGTGTCTTTCAGAACCACTGATGACTTTCAAGCTGCACAAAGATTTTATTGTTGCTGTTAGTAAGTAAAGAAATACATTAATTTTTGTGAAAGTTCCTAAACCTCTTCGAATGCCTATCACTGTTTTTCTCCTTGCTCTGGTATTCAGTGACCCAGGCAAGGATCTGAGTTCTTTCATTTCATTATGTATAATAAAATTGTGCCATCTGAAAAGCCTTCAAAACAGAGAAGTCACCTTGCCTGAAGCTGCTTTGTGGCTTGTTCTCCTAAGTTTAGAATCACAAACTTACAGGATGGTTGAGGTTGAAAAGGATCTTTAAACATCAAGTCCAATCCCCCTGCTCCAGCAGGAACACCTACAGCACGGCACACAGGGTGGCAACCAGCCAGGTTTGAAAGATCTCCAGAGAAGGAGACTCCACAAMCTCCCTGGGCAGCCTCTTCCAGGGCTCTGTCACCCTCACAGGAAAGAAGTTCTTCCTCACATGGAGATGGAACTTCCTGTGTTGCAGCTTATACCCATTACCCCTTGTCCTCTCACTGGCCTCCACTGAGAAGAGTTTGGCCCCATCCTATCTACATTCTCCTCTCCAGTACTTATGTATATCGATCACATCTCCTCTCAGCCTTCTCTTTTACAGGCTAAATAGGCCAAGCTCACTTCGTCTTTCCTCATACGATAGATGCTGTAGTGCCTTAATCATCTTTGTTGCTCTACGCTGGACCTTCTGGAGAAGCTTCATGTGCCTATTGTACTGGGAAGCCCAGAGTTTCTACCTGCTTGCTGTCTACACAAAATTTGAATCTTGATTGCTATATAGACCAATAATTCTCATTGTGCATTCATCCTTCTCATCCAGGAACTTTTTTTTAACGGCTTGCTTTGAGAAATGGAAGGAATTATATTACTGTCTTTTCACAAAGGGAGAAATTAGTTACAGAGATAGTATGACAGTTTTTCTAATTACTCTAAAGTAGAATTTGAAGTTATTTCCATRTTACCTCTTACCTTGATAAGATTAAAAGATACTCAAAGAATTTTAGATATTTTAAATGTCAGGAGGTAAAATATTGGATTCCACTGAAGTGGTAAATGGAGTCATAATTGCCACTCATTTCAATGGCCCCAGGTTAGCTTTTGATAAGTTAATTGAAATACAAATACCAGAATGTTCTTGTGATAAACTTGAATTGTCCTAATCTTTTTAAAGGACARTTTTGATTTATTGTTATGCATATGTGTATGACCATGTGTTGGTAATCACATCTTAGCCTACAGGCTGATTCATCATCAATATTTGCTTTTTGTTTCACAGAATCAGATGATCAGAACTACAGAGTTGAGGCAGTGCATGCGCTTGTTCACAAGTTACCGGAGAAGAACAGAGAGATGCTGGACATCCTTATCAAGCACCTGGTCAAGTAATTCTTCATGATTTTTTTTTCTCTTGCTGGTAGTATTTTAGGTTGTGATCCTTTCCATTTTTAAAATGTCAGTATTTCCTAATCCATTCTCTGTGTTGGGACAAAGCCACTTGAAATTACAGTTAGCTTCTGAAATGCTATTCACAATGTAGTGAAAAAGTCCTGCCTGTAGACTGTAAAGATTCGTGTTTACTATTCATGTTCCTAAAGCAAGAATTAACTCCTGTTAAAAATGAGAAACATCCAAACGTAAGCTACAAGAATATGCTATGTAAACTAGTAGACTAGTTCAGTCTTATTTTTCTCTATGAGATATCAGTGTCATTTCAAAATACTAATTTGAAATATTGTTACTTTTATCCTTGATTCTCATATAAATGTCCAAGCCTTCTTTTGAATTTCCTAAGTTTTATCAGCTTGCCTGAGTCTTAATTAAATGTCATAGGGAAAATCATTTTTTATATATTTGAACTGATGACCTTTTATCTTCAATGGATTACACTTCTCAGACAGAAAAGACAAGTTTTGTTCTCTGCTGTCTGTACTGCTTGCTGTTGTTATGCAGTATTGCTATATCATCGCTAACCCTCTTTCTACAGCAAACAATGTTCATTTGAGTTATACTTTACTCTTGTCATTTTCATTGGCTTTCTATGTACTTTTTTAAAAGATTAATATTAATTAGTTTCTCTTTCTGATCGGTGATGACAGAGGCCGTGTGCTGTTTAGTACATGTTATCAGTGATTTCATAATGCGATGAGGGGAACAGTAGTTGCTCAGATAAGGTCCACATGGTTGACTTGGGTAAAAGATGCAGCAGAAGGGCCCGTATTGCTTTCTTTCCCTTCACTGCATCTCAGCTATTTTGCCTTTTAGATCTCAGCATGAACCATCTCAGCGTGCCGTGAGCTGCCTGCAGTGGAGCCTAATGTATCTGCTTCCTTTTCAGGGCTCTGAAAATGTCTTTGACAGGCAATTATTGAGCCCTAGTAAAGTATTTTTAGCCCTTTATGGCATTAGCCCCTGGAGAATTGCCGTGCTCGGAGCTGCTGTGAGTGCCTCAAGCACAGAAACAGTTCAGGACGAGCTTGCTTTTCATTAGGCATGTGGTAACCCAAAGAACAAGCAAGTTTAAACTTGCAAAAAAGCAAGTTTATTAAGTTTCCTTACCCAAAGAGTATTTTATTAGCTAAAAGTATAATATTCACTCCTTTTAATTCTCTGAACATATAAAGTTTTTAATGATAGATCAATGGCTTTATAAAAGCTGCTAGTTTGGAGATGTCAATTAATTACTTAATTACTTAATTGTGGGCAAAATGAATTGTAGGGAAATATTTGTTCTTTGGCTTTCTGGCCTCTTTAGTCTTAATATTGCACAGATGAAGAGAAGAGTATATCCATGGTGTCCACTGCTGCCTTGGCTRTTTTCTTTAAGCATCCAGCAGGCACTTTGTTACAATTTTGACTTTATGCTAGCAATTCTAAGGATACTGAATTCAAAATCACTGTCATGAGTGATTTTATGATATAGCGTTGCTATATATAGTCAACATGGAATAATAATAATAGTAATCAATAAAGAAAGTGAATAATAAATTGTATTAGTATGGAGACTTTTCAAAGCACACATGACACAGAGCATCATTTTCTGTAAATGGCGAATCTCCTTTCAAAATGTCCATCCTTTCTCTGCATTTCCTCTTGGCTATTCAGTTCCTCTATGTGAGCTCTTGTATCTGCATGAAAACACTATACCTTTAAATATGATGTATACAATAATAATAATATTTTTTTACTTTATGTAGATCTTAAGGTCTTTAGATCTATGACTACTTTGTCTTTGTGTCTCTGCAAAATTAAATATGATTTAGATCATATATGATGTGCATTATTTATTAAAATAGGAGGAAGAGGACAGGGGAAGCAAATCCTGAAAAGCATCCTGTACAGTAGGGCCCTACTGTAATGTGTTTATTACACTTCTTATGCTAATAAATCAGTTAACAGATAGGAAACATTGCAAGTTTGGTGTTATTTTCAGATAGATAAAAAGATATACTTCATTAAAAAAAAAAAACAAAAATTCATAATTAAATTACATATTTGTCTCCTTTAAAGAATAAATTCTTCTTTCATGTGATAAAGGCACAATACTTTTTATCAGTTACATGGTCATAAATCTGCAAACTGACAGTATCAAGAATGTATTTTTTACAGGGCATATAGCAAAGAAAGATTTTGAGGAGAAAGCAATTGCACCTTAATGGATGCCTTAGAGCTACCTGAAATGCGTGATTACCTTGGCCAGTGTCCGCTCAGTAGCCGAGCAACAGTAGGACTAGGTCAGATGAAATTGGTTATCAAAAAGATCCATTTTCAGGACTAGGTTTTCTTCCCTTGTGCAGGAAATTGAGCCTTTGAGGTGCTTTGCAGAAAGTCTTTTCTGGTCACAATTTTATTAAATTCAGTGTTCCTTTTATTAACCAACCTACCAAATTTGTCACCAAGGAAACCCAAACATATTACAAACACTTCTTTCTGTCTTATGCTGTAAGACCATGATGATTGTATAAAATGTTTGTGTAAAGGACCTTTGCTAGCAGTTACTGTGCAGCACAGAGCAGAACATTGCAGACAGATATTTGCTAGGYTTTTCTTAACATAGTAGTTCAAAATTTCCAGTGCACCCACAGAAGGAAAATTTCTGAGATGTTTTTTAACATTAACTAAGTAGGAAACACACAAGGAGAATGGAGTATTTGCATGTAGTTTATAACTCATGATATTGAATGTAAATGTCATTCCCTGTATTTGAGGAGAGGGGACTATTTGCTTCATTATTGAAGTAATTCTACTGCCTGGTAGCTACCTGATTTTTTTTTTTTTTTTTGGAGGGAATACAGCAGATTTCTCCATAACCCTGATTACTGCAGATTGTCAGAGAAAAACAGAAACTAGAATATGTGCCTTCCTTCTAGTCTTTCTAACTAAATTTTATTGTCCCTTGATTTTAAAAGCCACAGAAATCATTTTAGTTATACAGAAGATTAATAAAATTGTATTTTGTCAGCTTGACAGTGGTAGCAGATAGCAGTGAGGAGAAGAAAGGAAGCCATGAATGAATGCCTTAATAAGTCATACTGTTTCATAGAGTTAACTATAAAAGGCAATTTTCAAAATTTACTTRCTATAGTGTTGTTCAAACATGAAGGCATAGGACAGCTCTGACCAGAATCACTGGCAGTTTTTTTGAAGTTATCTTTAAAGGGGAGTCATGAACCTGAGATTTGATTACAGTAGTTGTCTAACAGTTTTCTGCTTGTTGGAGTGGGCGGTCAGCATGATTATTTAACTGCATATCACTTTTGTTCACTTAAAGGGTATCATTACACAGTCAGCAAAATCTTATGACGGTATCCAACCTTGGTGTTATCTTTGGACCAACTCTGATGAGAGCCCAAGAAGAAACTGTGGCTGCTATGATGAACATTAAGTTTCAGAATATCGTCGTTGAAATTCTGATAGAGCATTATGAAAAGGTAGACTGACATTATCTGAATGCTTTCTGATAAAGAAGAAACTGGTATCTCATTTTCATTACCATCATTTAATTCTTAAGAATAAGAAATTCATCATTTATAGAAGCATTATGAGAGAAAGAATACATGCTGCCCATGTGTTGCTATGGATCTGTATTCCTAGCAAGTCTTTTATGGCTATACAAGTTACAGATCCAAGGCATAATCTCCCATGTTATGAAGGAGCTGATCTGAATCAACTAAAGAATTCTAAAGCTTGAAACCTTCTCATAGCTGAAAGTGAGGTGAAAAAATAGGATAACTTTGCTTCAACCTCTTCCATCTTACTCTTGCTAGTAGTGTACTAAAGTCCAGGTAATGCATGGATTCTCCCCTGAGTGCACTTGTGCCTCAGGTCAGAATCTTTCTTTGGGGATACACCAACTGCACAGTGGAGATCCTGTCCCACCTAACATCATGGAACCCATCCGTCCTTCAGTTCTGCTTTCCACAGCGGCCTCAATGTGGATCCCCAGCAGAATCCCCAGACTGCATGCTATGTCATTTTCATTGTGAAAGCTGTCAAAAAGACAAAAGAATAAAATTTTATAGCTGAAGTTTTATCCCTATCTGCAGGTTTTAAACCCATTATGAATACTTAGGAACATGTGATCTTCTCTAGGTGCTTCTTTTGCTTTGAAAAAAGGCCTTTCTGTGGATACTCTATTTATCACATATTATTATTATTTATTATTACTTCTTGACAGTGAGGGTGACAGAGCACTGGAGCAGGCTGCCCAGAGAGGTTGTGGAGTCTCCTTCTTTGGAGATCTTTAAAACCCGCTTGGATGCAGCCCTGTGCCACGTGCTCTAGGTGACCCTGCGTGAGCAGGGGGGTTGGACTAGATGACCTCTGAGGTCCCTTCCAACCTTAAGCATTCTATGATTCTATGATTTACTTTTTATAAATTTTATTTTCCCCAGAGATACCAGTTTTTATTTAAATAAAATCCTCTAGGGATTTTATTTTCCCCAGAGATACCAGCTACAGCAAAGTAACACCTCAAACTCCTCTATTTAGAACACTGATATTTTGTTGATATAGATAATCTCATGAACATCAAAGTGAAAAATAACTCTTTTCCTTCAATTTTGTGTTACCTATCTGAAAGACCAGTAYCAGATTTTTCTGCATTGTTTGATCAGTAAGTTCCCACAGTACTGCTTGATATCAGCAGTTATATTTCGTATAGACTCCCCAAAATTGGTACAGTTCCTCCATGCCTATAACTCCAAAACATATGCATAACATGTTTCCAAAACTCAGTTTCCCCTTCTGAAAATTACAAACTCATTCAATACCAAGACCGTGGTTGCACAGCCAGAAACACCATTACTGAACTTCTCAGCCTCCAGACGTGTTTTGCTTTGGTGTGCCATTCACTAATTCCTAGTATGGTGTTACTGTGCTTCAGGAGTAACTCAAGACCTCCATTATAATATTTTCTACTTTGAAGGGGAGTATATTAGTGTCTTCTGCCTTTCTGAATGACATGGAGCTGTCTGCCTCCTATTGTGCTCTATTAATAGCGAATCCTTATACATACCTGTATTAGATCCCAGCAGGGTTCATGCATGTGTGCATAAGAGCACAATTAATTGGTTACTGATGAAGATTTGAGTTTCTCTACAGCAATGAAATGGAGAGTTCACTAGTAGCAGTAGCAGTAGCACATGAAAGAAAAATCCTAAGGTGCTCCAAACATAAGCATGATCCTGAAGTCATTTAGGAAAGAATGCTGGTTGGGCTCGTTTTAGAGGGGTATTAGGAGCTCTGTGTTCCCCAGSTTGGAACTGTAGACTAGAAAGTGGAGGAAAAACATATTCTGTTGCTTATGAAATRCCTAACTTGAAATCTATATTGTCTTTAGGTTAAGAAACAGTTCTGGAAAATACAGCTCATTTGCTTTGTTACTAATACATCCTGCACAGGGATTAGTAGGTAGCATCCACTTTCATATTTGACTGATTCAACTGATAAGCACTTCATACACCTCACACTAAGGCAGTAAACTATTCTAACCTAGTACACTAACCTAGTGTCTTCTTGGATAGTAAAATTAGATCAGAATAAAGACAATCAGAATAAAATATATTCAATGAATTTCTCCTTTTGTGATATGTGATACAATCACACCATTCGTTTCCGACATTACATAGAACAAAAAAGCAACATAGAAAGGAATGTGTGGAAGTACCTCTATGGTTTATGGCATTTTTGTCCACTCCACCTTTTTTTTTTCTCTTTTTTTTTTTTTTATCATTCAGATATTTCACACTGCACCAGACCCCAATATTCCTCTTCCTCAACCACAGTCCCGTTCAGGTTCAAGAAGGACAAGAGCAATTTGTCTCTCCACAGGTTCACGTAAACCTAAAGGAAGATACACACCTTGTCTAGCAGATCCTGATAGTAAGTTTGCCTTTGCTATTGGCTGATGGTCTTTCACATCATGTTCTGTCTTTTGATTTTTCTAGTTAACATCTAATAGATATTGTATTCACATGCTTATAAGCTTAAGAGATGGGAGTTTTATCAGCTTTTTAAAGTTTGTGAATCTTAGCACTTTTGAATGACTGCATTCCTTGCTTTCCTCACAAGAGCAACAGTTTTGTRCTGCCTAGAGTGTTTAGTAACTTTTTTTGTAGGTTTAATATCTAAAGATAGTCTGCTTTCAGACTGTGAGAATTTCATTATACGACGTTCACCTCATTTAAGGTTGAGAAATTGTAATTAGAATCTCTTTTGTATGATAGTTTTTTTCCTATGATAAATGAAATTCAGTCAGGGTCAGGAGAGCAAAATCATTACTTGACTTGTATCGTGGACGTGAAACTGTGGTCTTCATTTCAAAGTACATTACAGCCTCAGTTGCAAAAACAACTTAAACTTTTTTTTTACTGGGATAGAGTCAACTGTAAATCTAATATTTTTGTGAGAACTAGTATACTCATCATGTGGCTTACTGTAAAGCAGCAGGGAGTTACGTTTGCACTTGAATACTGATGAGAAAACTTATTCCTTTTCATGTAAATGTGACTATAAAGAAAGTTGCACTTCATTTTCACTCAGTGGGACATCACATTTACTCTTTAGCCTTACCATTAGCAAACATTAAATTATTAACAGTTTCATTGCTGTAATAGAACTTCCTTTGGAACCGTGTTTTCCCCAGTTCTTCAAGGAGAGTTACATGAAGTTGCTACAGCAAATTAATGCATATGTTAATGCATATAATTAACGCATATATCCCCAGGCATATGTTACATATTCTGTCAGCAGGAGTTTAAATACTAATTGAGGGCCATAGCTGCCTACATATCAATTGTCAATGTGAATGGCACTGGATTCTTACTAGTGAGAAGCTATAAGGAATTATCAGCTAAAACTCACTAGTGGAGAAACTGTGCTCCAAGCTCAGTTTTTCTCCAAGCTTCTGGAAAAAGTCTTTTAAAAAACAAGGACTTCAGTCACAATTTTATTAATTCCATTTTCAAGATAATTCAACTCTTTCAATGTTCATGCCAGCTTTTCTTAGTTTTGATCAGTGTTCCTACCTTTGTCTTGTCAGCGAATTTCTTTAGTACGTTCCCACTTTCTGTTCCAAAATATTAATGAAAATATTAAATAAGTATGAAAGTTCTCATTAATATTATTAAATTATTAAATAAGTATGAAATAAGTAGGAAAGTGAATTTCCCCAATTTCATCAAATAGTCGATGTTATCAAGAATGTTGAAGTTGTAAATAAAGGAATAAATAGTTGTCCTTTCTTTGTAGGGTAGGTGTTTCTTTAAACATATGATGAATCAGGAAATAGGATATCTATACATATACAGTTGGTCTATGTTCATAAGTCTATAATAGTCTTATGAGCTAGTCTTACGGAAACTGCAGAGATTCTAGGAACTTGACAATCAAAGTAAAAACAGCTTGCTCCTGCCAACCATGCAATCATACATGTTGGAGCATACATATGGCAAGTGTCACATCACGGTACTTTCATGGAATTTCAGCCAGTTCCTCCTCAAAGTCATTGTAGCATTCAGACTGTTTAATTTCTTAGGGTTATATATCCTGCAGGCAATTTTTTCTTTCAAAATGCAAGTAGTGGTGTCTGTAGCTGGTTTTAAACCCATTATGTTCATCAGGTCTAGAGAAATGTCAGCTTTCTGGTTAAAGACTGAAATATATGTGAAACTTAGAGTAACGAGATAGCCGATTAATGAATTCAGTGATACAAGTAAGATGCRAGGGCTATGAAGTGGTATGAGAGAAATGCACATTTTTAGCTTTCCTGATTTTCTTTCTTCTCCCCTCCCTCATCCTCAGGTGACTCCTACAGCAGTAGCCCRGACAGCACTCCCATGGGCAGTGTCGAGTCTCTCTCTTCCCACTCCTCAGAACAGAACAGCACCAGCAAGTGTGCGCCCTCGCAGCCCAGGGAGAAATCAGGAGGGATCCCATGGATTGCTTCTCCCCCCTCTTCTAATGGCCAGAAGAGTTCAGGCCTTTGGACTACAAGTCCAGAGTCCTCATCCAAGGAGGATGCGACCAAAACAGACGTGGAGTCAGACTGCCAAAGCATAGCGTCTGTTACTGGGCCAGAGGGTGCCCCTTCACCAATAGATCTCACCAAAAAGAGTCCTTACAGTCTGTCTGGCCTGAAAAGATCATCGGCTTCTTCCCTCAGATCAATTCCATCAGCTGAAGGTAATTTTCAAGGTTGTTTAGGACATCAGTGAATTTGCTGTGAAGAAACAGAAAATAAAAGGTGCATCTGTTGATACAGATAAAGGTGCAGCTAATGATATTAGTTTAGTTTGTTTAATTGTTAATGTCGTGGTGTGTTTTTCTTTCCACTTTTCAGATTGCTTCTGACATGTTTTCATTGTCTATTACAGTTCCCTAAGCTTAAAATATATCAGTATTTCTCAGAATTTACAATACTCTTTGTCCTGCCATGCCTCAACTGGGCTCCTGACTTACGAGCGTGCCAAGTTAAAAGTTTGCAGCAAGGAGTTAATCACTGTGTCAAAGGAATGAATCCTTGCAACATGTTCAGTACTAATGAAAGCTGCCATTTAAATTTTAAAAGCCTCTTTGCACAACTGCATTTCTTAAATTGACTGAAGTAGGATTGGGGAAAAAAATCTTTTAAATAGGGACTTTCCAGGCAATGCCTTGGGTCAAGATAGGACTAGGCAGATGGTACAAAGGGGTGAGCCCTGGTGTGATGTTTATATCTGTAACATTACTTACGGAGTGGGTGCTTCATTCTGCCCTACCTGTTCCTTTGGGTACCTGGTAGAGAGAGTAAGTTAACTTGAACATGGGACATACGGTCAGAATTCACCTGTACATGGACCTATATGAAAGAGCAAACACAAATTGAAAGGGGAGATTTATGRCTACTGCTCTCTTTTGATTATCCAATATATATTTGCAAGTCAGTCTTTAGGAATCCAAATTCTATGCCAGAGTAGGACTCTCTTCTTCCTATGTAATCAAAAAAAGACGCTGCTTCAAAAAACTCCCTGAGAGGACCTAAGCTGTATTCTAAATAACCATGTGAAGAGGGTCCTTGCAAGAAAGGGAGGGTTAAAAATTTGGCTCCTTAATTTAGGCGCTTGAAATCCTATGAACTCTAGCTCCTCTTTGAGTACAAGAGTACTCATTTTTGTACATATATTGCAGCTGTCTTAAAATCAACCTGAGAACAAGCACTATAAAAATGAGACTGTTTACAGTGTCTAGGATTATAAAGATTAACACAGTCATCACTGAAACAGTAAGATCCAGTGGACTGAATGTGAGTGTTGACTTTGCCGCTGAGTTCTCAATAGCATAAGTAATGCAAATACAGGAAGGGCAAATATAAAATATACACTGGAAGCTTAGTAAAGTTCTTCCCCCTCAAAGGGTACAATCTTTTTTCTGAGATTACCTGATATTAGTTATTATTTTATGAGTCTTAATTATTAACAGTATTAATGACACTATTAGTAATAAAAGTATTGTTATTTGAGGATCTATTTGTATTATTGCAGCATTTAAAGTGTTATTAAGCATCTTTTTTAAGTCTTTTTAGCATTAGGTTATTAAGTTTTAGCATTAGTTAATAAGCATGTTTTTAAAAGCATCTGTTTTTCTAGGGAGTAAACGAACACAGAAGTAGACACAGTTCTTGTCTTGCAGAGTGTGTAGGCAGGTGAGGCAGTAGTCCAGAGGGAGATCAATCTGAAAGACTCATCAGTTCGTGTCTTTCTCACTAGCTGAGGTGCAAGTTCTGTGTGTGAGGTTAGAAAGATGACTATTTCTTATTTAAATGCATTAWTTCTATTGCGTGAGAAAATACCTTTGTTTTGAGATCATTTTTGATGCAATACAGGCTGTGAAGCTTTTGCTTCTTTAAAAAGAAAGAGTTTTATTATGCATGTTGTACATGTTATGGCACAACTTGAAATTAGCTTTAGTATTCCATACAAATTTGATTGCCGTCTTCAGGTAACAAAAGCTGCAGTGGATCTATACAGAGCTTATCTTCCATAGAAACCAAAGATACACCAAAGGCTTCACCAAACCCCGATTTGCCACCAAAAATGTGCAGGAGGTTAAGATTGGATACTGCATCAAGCAATGGCTATCAAAGACCAGGATCTGTGTAAGTAATGAAGACCCTGGGGAAAATTGTGTTGTTATAGTAGTGTTACCCACTCAAAAGTGATCCCAAACACCTGAATAGATGATCTAAAAGACAGACATCAATGCTACATTTGAATGTTTCTGTATTTGTGAATGTTTATCTATTAAAATTGTGAACTGAACAAAGAAAGTAAGACCCCAAGGGTAAAGAAGCTTGTACACAAAAATTTATTTTGGTGTTTTAGTGTTAAACCCTGTAAAATATTTTTTTTTTCCTAAAACTTTTTATTATTATTTCTTGAGAGGATGATAGTTCTATGCAGAAGAGGTTTCTGTTTAACTTAGCTGAGATTTGGGTTAACAATGTTTCTTAGTGCCCAAAAGGCAAGCCTAAAAGTCAAGAAATCTTTGCTCTAATCCTGCCTGTAACCTTGACTTTCATCAACCAGTGATTTCCAGAACTGCAGATTGCCAGAAAGCTCTCCAAATATTTCAGGACTCCTCTCAGCCTGTCCATTTGTAAACTAGAAGGGAGCACCTTAGTCATTTAACAGGTTTCTGTATCTTAAACAAAAAATCCTGCATAGCTCAGAGTCCAGCTGTCAGTGACAGGCTGTCAGGAAAAGCATTTCCATTGTGTCTGTTGGCCGTCCATTATATAACTTTAAATACAGGTTGATGTGAGGKTTTTTTTGGTATGTTACCTTTATTGATCATGTAATTCCTGGCTCAGCAAAATACCTAGAGCCTTTGGTGGCCTAAATCAAGGCATGTCCTGAAGAATTGTGCTGAAGAGGGRCTCTTTAGCTTAGCTTTTGAGTTTCCTTTGTTTGTCTAGTGAATATTTAAAACTATTAAAAAAAAAGAGGTTCCCTGTCTTTAGATGTTTAAAACTGAAATTAGTCTATGTGTTTAGTTAATGGGCTAAGTTTAAAGCAGGCTGCTGCTTCACTTTATTTTCAGAGTGGCTGCAAGAGCTCAGTTGTTTGAAAGTGCTGGTTCATTTAAACAAGTTTCTTCAGGACGGTAAGTGCTTCCTAGTTTAGCAACATATAAAAACTTTTGTGCTTTCTGGCTTCAGAGATTGAAATAGAGACATCAGAGCTTTCTTCAGTGTCTATTTTCAGTGTCATGTGGCTTTCACTTTTCTTTGTGGTTTACTAAACTCAGMTTTTTCGTGGAAAACAACCTAATGGGGAATAACAGCCTGTCTGTCTTATTCTGTCTGCTGTGGGCGCTGTAGTAAGAGACTCTCAGACAAGTGGCCTGTTTAAGGATATGACTACAGTAAATGTGATCTAAATTAGGGTGAGGGTGCTTTATTTATTCTACAGAGTAGTTTGTACATGCAGGCATTTAATAGAATGGTGGAAGTGCTGTCAATCTGAGTAATAGTTCGTGGTAGTTTACTCATATAATCAAGTCCTGAATAGCAGAATTAACTTGATCAGGATTCTCATCCCTCTGACTGCATGTTCTGTACCTCAGTCTGGAGAAATTGTATGTCTCTCTTCTTGACAATATGTATTCTTGACAATATGTATTTTTTTCATTCTTACTAAGCATTATTTACATTTTTATTTACACTTGCATGCATTTATTGGGTGATTTTGATTCATTCTTAAATTGCATTGAGTTAGAAAGCATTGGCAAGTGTTCATGTAGAAAGCCATATACTCCACATGTCTGTAACCTGCCTGCCATTAGTAGACTAAGACAGTTTAGGTGGGTGTGGGAAAAGACTCTCTTTTACTATCCCTGTATTTAATGCTCAAAGTAAGATCATATGCTTGTTTTTGTCTGTCACTTGACTTACCGGAACCTTGATCTTATTGAAACTTTTGAGCAACAGCAAAACAACCGTGTGATCCATGTGGATGTAATCCACACACTGAGAGTAGTGTTTGGAAGAAGCACAGCTGTAATAGAGGATGCCGACATGTGGTGGGGGAACAGGGCAGGTCCAGCAGAGGTGAGGAGGACGAAGCTGACCTGCAGGGCCCACTGCTTTTGTGCAACAGAAGGGGTTTGCAGGAATCAAGGCTTTTCTTGTTTTCTCTTGTACATGAACTGTATGATGACCAAAAAAGAGGGTGGCAGAGAGAGAAAGGGAGTGAAAAAAAGCATGGCAATAATTTAAGGAATAAAAGTATAGATAAAGAGACTGGCATGTTCTTAACCAGTGACCTAAGGCAAGGACAATGATTGCTTTACCAGTCCTGTATCATCTGCCACTGTTCTTTTTCCTATTTTGTATTACTCCCTTCTTGTAAACTCTCTTATGTTGTTCCTCAGGACCTGTCCTATCTGTATCTGTATATAGAGAGGATGTAAGAAGCAAAAATCTGACAAAGGAAAAATGTAGCCGTTTGATAATGGCTGTGGAGAGCAGGTAACAAAGCAGGAAAGGCTGAAAAGCTTAATAGCTCTTCTACTTCAGGCTTTCTAAGAAGGCAGAGGAGCAACAATAACAAGGAGAATGGAAAATGAGAGATCAGCAGCAAAATGGGCAAGAAAGGAGCTATGCTGTTCCAGTAATACTGCTGCAGCTTTATTTGCCTCTCATTAATGCTATGGACAAGAAKACTGCATTAAGTACTTAGGATAGTTGTTCTTGTTTATAAGTGTATTGAAATCATGTAATTATTCATGATATCATATTAATACTTATTATGAATTACATATTAATATCACCCAGTAGAGAGGCTTATGGATCCATAGCTACCACATAATGGGTGTATGCAGTGCAGGGTGTAAGAGAAGCCCAAACTGTGTTTAAACCAAGTGCCTTGATACCAGAAATAATGCAGTCAGGAGAGTGTTGAGTTCTGTTCAGGGATAATTTATCCTGTGAAAAATGTCTGTGCTTTTGAAATTAACTACTTCTTTCCTACATACAGTAGCATCTAAGTAGCTTCATTCCTACTTGACATATCTATTGCTTGAAACAGCATTTGTGGTCCAGTACCTGGATCAAAAGTCCCTGGCCAGCTTTGCAGAACTAGTTTGCATTGTGTTAATGCATTCCAGCAGATGTGGTGACACTGGATGCTCTGCCACCACAGAGATCTGGACATTCTGGATTCCTTCCTGCAGCCTTTACACCTCTTCTTTCCGACTTTGTATAATGTGCCATTTCTGCTTGGAAAGCTCTCTTTTTTTAACACTTTTCTGTTTGTGCTGGGCCAATTATTTGACCTGAATGTTTTCTCACTTCATGTACATGAGTGTGGGTCCACGGTGACAGCGTTTTGAATAGATTTCTTTTATTCAAAAAGAGAGAGTGAGAGGTCACAATACATGTTGCAGAATCGGAGAGGTAAGAGTTATGTTGGGCCCCCTCCAGTCTCTGCTCTCTTTTTTTCCAATCCAAGAGTTATTTCTGATTTCCCATCCTTCCCTTTTCTTCCTTCCTAGCTTCAAGTATATCAGTCATCCATCTACTGAACTGTAGTATAAGCTGCTATATGTACTGGGACCAGTCCCTCTTGCAAATCTAGTATGCACTTGAAAGTGATGTGAAGTGAGTACTTTAAGAAATATTGCAGTTAATTAGCAGTCTCAGTAAGGGCTGAGGTCTCTATYGAAGCTGCTATACAAAAGTGCAGCAATACATAATCCTGAGTCTGCTTCTTTATGGCTTTTGATTTAGAGGTACACAAGTTGAGTCTCAAAAGGTGAAAAAAAAAGCATCATAAGAGCAAGGCTTTTCATTAAATGAGAATACCTAGAAAAGTAGAAAGAAAYGTTGTTGACAGCAAATGGCTCTGTCTTGGCAGCAGGATCTCTAGGTGGAGGATTGGGACATTAATAGGAGCAGGCTGAAAGAATGAAGTGCTCCAGACATATGCTCCCTTCCCAGCCATAGAGTTTAATATCTCTTTCCAATTATCCTTCTGCTTTTATTTTGGTACTATGTTTTGCATTCACTTAAACACCAGCATTACCTCCCCGGTTCAGACCAGAGCTTTCTGCTCAGGCAAACTCAGCTGTGAAACTGCCCTCCCTGGGAGTCTCTAAACCTTTCTTCTTCCAATAAGATTATATTAAGGGATGAGTCATCTGGTAGACATTCACATGTGTTCCCTCAGTCATTCCTCTTCTGGCCTCTGTCTTCGTCTTGCTAGACTGAGGGCTCATTAGGGCAAGGATGTAGTTTTGAAGCCCATTTGTAGCTCCTAAAATGGCTTATTAAAAGTGCCTCAGGTCTTGCTGACAGTATGTAGTCAAAATAATTTACAATCTGCTGAAGACTGACCCTTCCTACTGCTAGTTTGTTACCTGTGTGATAGAAAATAGGCCATAAAACAGAAAGAAAAAAATACATTTTTTTTACTCTGGAGCCTAGCGAGTAAAGCCATGGGAAAAATGGACTCAGGAAAGGAGAGTAGCATTTTCTGAAGGTTTTTTTTTTTCTCTCACTTAACATCACTCTCTTCTCTTAGAATATTAACAACATCCTACAAGAACCGCCATAGATAGTGGTGATGTTATCACATGCTTTTTCTGACAGGCAGCTTTGCATTAACACCTTAACAGCCAATGTCCAGTGTCATAATTACACACAATAAAATTGCCTAAGAAGCTGCAGGCCCTTTTCATTGCTAATGCTTCTAGCAGGGTGGTGTTAAAATTAGTAATAACTAATAGGAGAACCTAATTAATGAAAGTGGWTGTGGAGGGAGTACCCAAGAGATTAAAATTTGATCCAAAATATGGATAAATATTCTTAGGCTTATTGTCTCATCATAGTGTAACACACTAATTGTAGATAATATTAGAAATTATGTAAATACCAAGGKCTGGGAAGTKCTTCCAGAACTGATCAAGCCTATGTTTTATAATGTTCTTTCCATTGCTAAGATAAACATATGCGAACTGGGTCTAACTGGAATGTGAAAACAGAAGAAACTACAGGGGAAAGGATGAGGTATTCATGCCACTAAGTGGTTCAAAATCATCCCTGATTTAGCAGATTGTCTTTAATCGTTGCCAATTATCAACAGTTCTTTTACTTTATTTGTGTAAAATATTTTATTTTTCAACACAGGAAATGGATACTTTGTCAGAGATTTACAGGTCTTGGTCTGCATAATCAGAACATCTGTAGAGCATTTTGTCATATTGACTTAGGAGGAAAGTGACCTTCAGGTTAAATGCTCTCTATACTGATATATATATAGCTCTRATTTATACTTTCTGTGGGACCTTTGGTAAAGTCAGTTTATCCCCCTCTGAGCCAATTCTGTATGTGTCATGTTGAGTGATGAATTTTTTTCGTCTTTTCTTTGCCTTGTTGACTATAAATGGTAAGTTCTTCATAACAGTGGTTGTATTTTACAGTCCATATGTAATCCTGAGTCTTTTTTATAACCAGGGTCTTTAGTCGGTCCTAATACCTGTAATTCTTGTTGGAATACAGTTGATAGCATCCCTAGAAAGAGCATGGTTTGTTTTGTGTGTAAGAGCTTGTGGTTTCATTTCTCCACTAGAAATGAGAGCCTGTTCGTAAAGGCCAGAATTGTGTAGAAAGATTAAAAAAATAATAATTTACAAGGATATTAAATAAAGAGGCCTAAGTAGTAGTTCTTGACATAGAGGTCTGGTAGAGTAACAGGCTGCTCCCCAAGCAACTGGCAGTTTCCAATAACATAGCCCTATATGATGGCCTGGTGGGGCCAAGGTATAACTACTTTTCTGCCTGCTTTCTTTTTTTCTCCTTCTCCTTCTCCTTCTCCTTCTCCTTCTCCTTCTCCTTCTCCTTCTCCTTCTCCTTCTCCTTCTCTTTCCTTCTTTTTCTTAAGTTTGATTTTCTTTTTCATCGCAGAGTATCTGAAACAATGCCAAGACTGTGTTGTAGCCCACCAGAGAGCTTTTTATGGCAAGAAACCTAGGAAATGTTTGTATATCCTGGAGTTTTTCAGAACATGGGGGATGTCTCAGGCTGTAACAGGTGGAGGAAGCCAAAGAAGATGTCTTCATCTTTCCTGAATTGTGCTGAACTGTTCCCAGGTTTGTGGACCAGCTGGGAAGCCAGCTAACATTTCAGCAAAGTGCACAATCAGGAGGCTCATGGTCTGTTAGTTAGCAGGGGACATGCATTGAAAATGATGGTGCTAAGAGTTAGAAATGAGTGATAACCAAAAAGTCCTGAAAAATAAGCTTCCCCTTGATGTCCAGGGCGTGACTCAAAATTCTTCTGGAATTTCCAGAACTTCTGGAAATCTAGGCCTGAGAATCTAACCTCTGATGAGCGATGAGCCAGTTGCTTGCTTTAAATTAAGGCACCAGTTAGTCTACTCATAAATGAGCTGCAGAGAAATATAAAATAAGGTTTCTCTTCAAAATGAGAAGTCACTACTTGAAGTAAACTAGGAACTTTCCATTCCCTTATCCTTCTAGAGCTTGAGCTGAAGCTTGAGCTGAAGCTGGTGCTGGTCATCTCCAGGTTGTAAGCCTAGGGTAGAAGTATCCTGCACTGCATTTAGGAACTGTGTCCCTGCTTAACTCCAGAGAAATATGGAGCTGCAAAGGTGAAGAGTCAGGACTCCATCACCCATACAAGCAATAAAAGTCTTCTCCTTATGCCACTGTTGCCCTGTTGTTAATCTAACCTGTGACTCTGTTAACTCAGTGTCTTGGGAGGAAAGAAGAAACAGATTACACACCTGCAAACATATGCCAGATGTTTAGAACTTCAGCACAGAGAGCATACTGGGTCATTGAGATAAATGATGGTTTGAAGTAAGGTTGTGTCCGTAATCCTCCACCCCATCACATGAAGGTCAAATGATCGACAAGTTAATCCTCATTTGGCAAGGATTCCAGTGCACATTTCCAATACATTTAAACAAACTCAGAAAAACTGATGCCAGGCAATTTAAGGCATTGGCTAAGGATCCTACAAAAACTCTTTTGTGTGTATAAATTAAAGATATCACTCTAGCCAAAGCACAGGAATCTAATGGAATTTCTGATCTTTCTGCTGAGCCCATTTTGCAGAGCTGTGGTGCTAGAAGCCGTATCAGCGGTCACACAGAGAGGTCACCTGCTCTGGGGCAGGATTACTCAAATCACCTAAACCATTCCTGAGCACATCTGCCTACTGTGCGGATTTCAGTTTGCTTGTTGGCTTCTTCAGAATCTTTCACAATGGGAATTCTCCAGTTCTAGCCAGTTCCAGTGTTTCTGTGCTCTAACCACTAGATAAATAGGTTTTTTTTCCTGCAGATTAAGATACATTAACTATCTGCACGTAGGTGTCATTATGTCGAGTTTTATTTAAGGTGCTATTTTGCCCAGAGAGGTTGTGGAGTCTCCTGTTCTGGAGGTCTTCCAGACCCATCTGGATGCCACCCTGTGCATCCAGGTGCTCTGGGTATCCCTTCTTGAGCAGGCGGGTTGGACTAGATGATCTCTAGAGGTCCCTTCCAACCTCAACCATTCTGTGATTGTGTGGTACTATTCCATTTAAGGTGTTTTTACAGACAGTGGTATCCAGAGAGCCATTCATTGCATCCTCAGGCAGGCATCCCACATTGCAGTTGAGCTAGGTGCACCCTAGCTAACATACAGGCATCTAAATTCAGGTGCCAAAAGCTGAACCTTCCTGTTCCCCTAATTGCTATCGAGCCCTCTCCAGCCCCACTAGTTCCAAGCACTGCACCCAGTTCTGTACTTGTCTGCATTCAGCAATGCCAACTAGGGCAAAAGAATCCTGTTACAAATGTGAATGATATTTCTGTTTAAGCTTCGAAGTAGGATGTTGATGTCTTTTCCGCAATAACAYATTTGTTAAATCCGGTCAGTCTGGTGTTGCTCTCTGCTATTATTCTGCTTCTCTGAGCTGCTATGCTACTACTTTTTGCAGTCTGTACAACTGAATATTGCTGTACTTTTCAGGTGTAAAAGTAATTTCTTTATACTTTTCCCTCCCCAGTTATCTTATTTGTTGCAAATTTATTTTCATCTTTCAGGCAAGCAAAAGCCATGTATTCCTGCAAGGCTGAGCACAGTCATGAGCTGTCTTTCCCACAAGGGGCAATATTTTCCAATGGTAAGATAGGTTTTGCATTCTCTGTTCAATATTTATAAAAAATGCTCAACTGTAGCCACAAGGCAAGAGAGTTATGATTCCACTTTCAACTCTCTGTTTTTGCCCTGATTTTTCAATTGATCTTGCATAACTATTATCTAAATCAATATATGAAGCATATATAGGTTCTCTTAGCTTTGCTATTTTGTTATAATTTTGTTTGTTACTGTTTTTTTGCAGTGTATCCGTCAGTGGAACCAGGCTGGTTAAAAGCAACTTACGAAGGGAAAACAGGGCTGGTTCCTGAGAATTATGTTGTCTTCCTCTAGTAACTTATAGTGGACAGCAAAATCTTCATGGTATCCATGGTAACAAATAATAAGCACTATGATTTTTATCTGACACAGATATGGGATCAGCCGGTTAGCCAGGTGGTAGATTTCCTTCAGATACTGCAGCCGCTCCCTGTCAGCAGAACAGAATGTGAGGAAACAGTTAACAGTTACTGTGCTGAAGAGGGTACTGTGTTTAAATACCTTCTATTGTTTGCAAAAGGTTGTTCTGTTCTTCTTTTATGGATAAGGAACACTAGGGCAATAAAATCAAAAAAGTGACCATTTAGCTGCAGACCATCAGGTTCTAGGATGTTGCTCACAAAAGTGTGAAATTTAGAGGTAATGCACTCTGTGATATTTCTTGCAATCTATGGGTTTAGTATGTATTTTTTTCATTTTGTGTATGTGTGGGGTAAGTAATGTTTTTATTGTGATCTGAATTCTCCCTTGGAAAACTTGATTCTGAGATCAGTCCTAATCATTTCAAATAAGAAACAAGTTTTCCATATACAAGAAGTTCAAACTGATGTTAGCCAGTGAGATCACAATATATTACAGAATTTATGTAACTGATAATGAAATCAGATTATACACTGACTGAGCAGGAAGTGCTCATCCCAAATGTGATGCGTTTAATGAATGTTTCATTCTTGTACTTCTTAGATTTATTTCTTCCTTTCCATATCATTATAAATAATAATAATAATAATAATAACTTAATATTTCTATGTTACCAGTCATCCTGAAGATGTTCTCAGTGAATCTCAGAACAACAGCTGTAGAAAGCAAGGAGGTGCTAAATCTGAGGGATTGGTAGTTACATGAAGTGAATGATGAGAAACGACGCAATGTGTTTTGAAACCTAAGATAAAGTGTAACTGCCTCCCTTTCAAGTTTTTCCATTGCTAATAAGACAAATGKCCTGCAAAGTAGTTTATTTTGTAAGCTATGAATGCTGAAAGCTCCGTCTAGCAATGAARGTTTTAGTATTATTTTTTCTGACTTCCACTGAACTATTTGGCAAAGATTTCTCTCCTCCCACAGAAGAAAAAACCTACTTGCTAAAGGTTTTACAAATAACCGTTGATTGTTCCTAGTAGGAAAAGAAAATAATTAGTATTTAATTGCATATATTTTCTTAGCAAAAAAAGATTACTTTAAAAAAGCTGCAGTAAAAAGCAAGCACATCAATATTCCTTTGTTAAAGAATGAAGTCCATAAAAAGGGAGCAAAGAACACAAGATAGGCAATATAGACAAAAATGAGACACACGTGCGCTGCTAGAATACTTGAAAGTCCACTCCTTCAAGCTCCCCTTCATAAAACCTTTAATTACATCTGAATTTCCAGTCAATAATTCTTATTTCTTGGAATGCCAGCCAAATGCTTCATGACTTAAAACCCTGCTCCAGAGTCAGTGGAATTAGAAGTTCATTAAGAATTACACACAAGCATTAAGGAGYTTTCTAAATTTGAGTCTTTCTTGCACGATTTGAGAAGAAAACGTTTAGTCCTTCTTGGTGAGTTACCATGCCCTGTTGAAAGACAAGATATTTAAGCACCATATTAACAAGTTAGTAATTCTTCAGTGTTAGTGTTAGAATATTTCACTGTTTCATAGACCTAACTGATCTCATTTTTTTCTTCAGTACAGTAATAAATATATAAAACTTTTTGATTTCCAAGACATATGCTGCCTTCAAAAAATTTAAGGAAGACCTTCTTTTAGGACTAGAAACATCATTAATCTATTGATTTCTTCTTTTTTTTATAATCTTTTTCTGGTTTAAATTAGGTGATAGATACATTGTCAATACAGTGAAGAGTATTAAGACCTTCTTTACATGCACGTAGCCCATCACTTACACTGAGCAGCTCTGTTCTGGAATGTAGACTGGTGCTAAAGCCCACAAGGCTCCTCTATAATTAAAGCACTAAGTAGTGCTCAGGAAAGGGGGAAGACCAGCAGAGCAGCCCCCTGAGATGGGCTTGCTTTTCACAGAGGGAGCATTAGTTGTACTAGTCCAAGTGGCGTGGGTTGCAGGCAGCTGACAACAGACCCCTTGAGTTAGTGACTGACTCATTTGGGTTATTTCTGTACTCTGAACAGGATTTAATTAGGTCCCCATCAGATTTCCCTTCCTCATAAGACAAGATTATGTCCAGCCCATTGTCATGAGGAAGGATTGTTCTGGTCTTCATCATGGGCAGTGGAGAGTCAGACCCATGTGTGGTAGCCATAAATTTCCCAGAGCAGGAGAGAAAGTAGGTGGAAAGAAGGACCTTTCTCACCCAAGGGAGTATTTCTTATTTTTAAGGCAAGCCAGTACCTGTGTATAACCTATGCCTGAAACTTCCATTATCCTGAGAAGATCAACCTAATTTTCTGTTCTTTGTTGTAGTGTAAGGCATAGTTCAAAAACTGTCAAAGGGCTTTCCTGACCTGGCCAGGAGACAGGCTGTTCAGGAGTGGAGGGAGGCAGAGGGCAGAGCTGGGGTGAGAGGCTGGAGCTTGGCAGCACCTCGCCACAGAGATAGATACGCGGTGGGGTCTGGGAGGAAAACTCGCCCTATCTATTGCACCAGGGCCAGTGGCAAACTGACCTCTGTTGGACTTCAGTGTTTTTTAGGAGGAATTTAGTTGTTGTGAAATTCCTGAGGAAGAGTGAAATAGAAAATGCTTCCTTTTGTTTGATTTTCTTTAGCCTGATTTCCCCCTTTTTTTTAATATGATTTAAATGTTCTCACAATATGTGAGTGTTTCTGGGTATTCTCCAATACTGTAATTTGAAACCAGCTAATCCAGTTGCAAGCTAGAGGACTCAAAGATATTAAACTTACACAGATTTCTAAAACCGTAGAGTTCAATCAGACATTGAGCAGGTAGAGCCGTAAGTGCTGAGGGAAAAGTTGCAGAAGGACCTGAGGGAATCCCTGTGGAAGAGAGGTGTTACGTCTATTCCCATACATTCATATCCTGTTAGACACCAGAGAATACAACTGTGCAAGACAACTTCATAAGAAACTGGATTTCATTTGTCTTGCCACTCACAAAGGAAACCTATCTTCTTTTTCAGGACTGTTAACCTTTTCAGGCCCTTCTTCTGAACCAGACATGTTGGTCATACATTGAAATTTAACTTCACTATCAAATAGCTTTTCCACCTGAGAATGTTATGCCTATTCTAGATGGCAATTAGCTACTCACTCTTGATGAAGAATTAGGGGCATTTTTGGCTTGTTTTTAATGTGCCACTGTGTCCTTCTCTTCCATGCAACGTAACAGGCACTTTCTGTGTAGCGTCACTGCTGGGCTGTGAATGCCCCAGCTCCTCCCTGACTTTCTTGAGGGCACTTTTCTCTAAAAGAAGCTGTAAAGTGAACTGGAAAGTTGTTTAAACTGGCTATGTGCAAACTGGAATGGAGGACAGTGGAGCATCGAAACTTGCCTAATGAGGATCCTCTCAGGCCTGACCAAAACTTTCTTCTGCTAGTTGTAGGAGATGAGAAAAACACGCAACACTTAAATGAAGATAAAATATTTGGATAGTGCCTTATTAGCAAATTAAGTGATCCAAACTAATTTAGTTCAGAGTATTTTTTTTATCATCATTTAAGCTCACTCTACAAGCAAAGGTTGTGTTAAAGTTTTAAATTATCCTTACGCCAAACTACCCTTACTAAGGAAATGCAACAGTTTTATCAGAATATCACTGGAGAACTCACAGTAGATGACACATTGTGATGGCTGTTTGTCTTGTGAAAAAAATGTCTGTACCCACAACTTATGTAATTAACCATGTCTTTATCTTCGTTAAACTTTTTGGTACATGTTGTAGCACAACATGAGTAAAACTAATAGTATGAAGGACTGGTATCTTGTATGATAAATATGTAAAATATTAATATTTTATATCAGTTTTTATTAATGATTAAGATGAAAAGATATTTTTGGTGTAATTTCTGTGAGTTCAGTATTAAAATGTTCATGCCATATTTTGGCATTCTAAGTAACAAAACTCCTAAATTAAAGGATAGCTATCACTTACATCCCGAACTAATCCATAAAGTGCATTTTTAGATTATTTCTGGAAAAATGATGCACAGAATTGCTGACCAGCACTAATCTATRTTAGTAGTAGTAACTTATTGTCTTTTTATCTATTTTCTGGTGATAATCTCTATTCTTTGCCTATAATTGGATTCATGTTAATACGCCTCTAGAAAAGAAACCTTAGGAAGAGAGAGTTGCAAAATTCAGTGGTTCAGGACAATAATTACAACAAAAGAGCATTATAATATGGGCAGACTGGATTTTTTTTACCTTTGTTCACTGGCCTATACTCCACTTAATAATGATTGTATTGGAATAACAAATGAATCCAAAAGTCACATTGTTCTTGACGCTGCTTTTCCTAATGCTGCAGTCGGCGCAACTCAGGAGCGAGTGGCCGGTGTCCCTGAGGGCCCGTGTCCTGCGCGCTGGGCTGCAGCTTCTGCGTTCACAGCAGCCCTCAGGGTGCTGGAACAGTCAGAGAGAGGCACTGGGCAAGTTAGAGTGGGATTTTGCTGGCCAGAAGCCCCCCAGAGAATAGAGTGGAACGTTCTGTCTGTGGGCAGACCCRTGGCTTGGCGCTGGGCTGTCCTCAGCAGCGGCCGCGGTGGCGCCGCCATTGAGCAGCGCCGGAGCCGCAGGCGCAGCTGGGCGGCCCCCTCGCGTGAGGCGCCCCGGGCGCTGCTGCTCCCGCYGCCGGCCTCCATGGGCGGGAGCTGCGCCTGTGGTCAGGCCGCTCGGGAGCTACAGCCGTGGTCAGGCCGCCTGGGAGCTGCGCCCATGGTCAGGCCACCCCAGAGGCCGCGAGGCCACCGCTTCGCCCAGGGCTGCGTGCCGGCCCTGTGCGGTTCCTCTGCTTTGCTTTAACGAGGTGCTTGGGATCCGGAGCGCTACAAATACCCGTGTCCCCAAAGACAGCAGCTTCGTTGTTATTGTCCTGGATGTGGCACTATTTAATAAGCCATTGGGTTTATTTAATAAGCCATGGGTTGGCCTCATTACTTTAGATGCAGACAGTGGTGCTTCAGCTCTTGGATATCTCTGTCAAAATCTGTTCTGCAGTAGCTTTTTTGCAGGTGTATCAGGAATTGTCATTAGTGGCCTGGCTCTGGCAGCAAAGATTTTGGAGTGATCTCAGCACTACAAGAGTCTCTACTTAAAGCAAAGGGCAAAGCAACTGACACGTGGATAGCTTCAATTTGCAGACATATTTATGACAATTTTGGAGGTATTAGAGTTTATAGGGGTTACTTTAGATACTATAGGGTATTTTAATAGGAAAGTATATTCAATCAATAACAAAAATATATATATTTAATAAAATACTAAATTATCTTATTGAACTCTTTGTTTATTTTGTAGTGTGGTTTCAGTAATTATCTGCACTTTGTATATATCTACATGTAAATAACTGGCATGATATGCATAAGCTGACTTGCAGATATACTTCTATGTTTTACTTTACACTGTATTTCAGAAATTTGAAATTTTTAAAAAAATAAAAAGCCTTTCTACACATAGTAGCTTCTGTATTGTTTTTAAACTTGAACTGATTCAGCCTTTTCTTATTATTTGCTTTCAAATAATAACTCTTTTGTGCTTCTTTTATCCCTACCTGGCTATTTCCAGACAAAGTCTAATCAAGCAAAGTTTTATCTGTGAGGATGCTTTATGTACAGGGCAATTCAGTAAGTTGTTCCTACCATTTAGTAATGGGCATGTGTCTGAATACCAGACAATAACACATCATCTGCTGTCTCGATCAGGTGACAGTCTCCAAGGGCTTTTGAGGAAAGTGACAGTTTTACCTGTTAYGCATTGAAGAAGCAAAAGGCTAGTGCGATATCAAAGCACCATCAGTGAGGCTTGGGCTCTTAAAACTTGCAGGTGGGCCGTGATCCGATGCTGTGCTACTGTGGTGACGCAATACTACCTGTAAGTGAACTTATTTCAGTAATTACTTCGCCTCCTCTATCACAGTTTCTCCAAACTTTTGGCCTCGGGGACCTGGAGCTGTTGGGGGCCTTTGAGATCCTGCAGCTCTCTGGGCAAGGAGCTTTTCTAGGAAAGAAGCTGTTTCTGTTGTCATTTGTGCCTGAGTCAGGCATGGTTTTGAGGCTGACCTTCCTTCTGAAGGGACTCTCCACAAACCAAGGTGTCCCTGAAAGAAGTCAGATGTTACTGGGATATTAACTAAGACAACTATTTTTCTTAAAGTAGGAAGAGTTAAAAATTTCTGAGGAAGATCAAACAATCAGCATTCCAAAGCCTTTTCCTGTCCGCAGGAATAGTGCAGTAGAGCTGCTGGGCCTGTTGCATCCCTGATGGGCACAGGGCAGTTCAGCAGAGG